TAGATTACTTATCTCCCTTTTGTTCAGTTTTTTTTCTGGAGCTTTGTTCTGTTCTTTCATTTGGGACATGCTTCTTTGTCTCCCCATTTTGACTGCTTCCCCATGTTTGTTTCTATGCATTAGGTAGGGCTGGTATGTCTCCTGGTCTTAGTAGAGTGGCCTTTCATAGTAGGTATTCTGTGGGGCCCAGTGGCGCAGTCTCCCTGGTCATTTGAGTCAGGTGTCCCTTGTGTGGGTTGTGTGTGCCCTCCTGTTGTAGTTGAGCCTTCATTGCTGTTTGCACGTCAGTGAGAGTGACTGACCCTTGGGCTGATTGGTTGTGCAGACTGGCCGTGACTACAGTGGAGGAGCTATTGTGCATGGGCTGACTCTATGGAGCAGGATTCGTTTTAGCAGGGCTCTGGTGTCTGCCCAGTCTGTCCTTTGGGTGTGTTGCCTGAGGAGGCAGTTGGGTATTGCTCTGGCTTGGTCTGAGGCTGACCACCAGGCGTGCTGGTGCCAGGGCCTCCTGTGAGGGGACCCACCGCAGACCAAGGTCAGCCACAGCCTGTGCCCTTCCTGGGGCCACCTGGCATGAGTCACAAAACAATCTGCAGATGGCAGTCCCCTTTGCTGGGCTTGAATGGGCGTGGGAGAGGCCAAGCTGTGAACCGAGGCCAGCTGCCGCTAGTACTAGGCTTGGGACTGTTCAGCAAGAGGTCTGGGGCTTGCAGAGTGCCAGATGCTGCTTGTATGGGTTTTGTGAACCTTTCACAGATTTTAGGAAATTCTGCACATGGGCCAAGACAGGCCGTTTGTATGGAAAAGCCACTGGGAGCAGCTTGGGTAGGCCTGCAAGGTGGGTGGGATGGGGTCTCAGGGAATCACCAGGGCAGGGCGAAGTGTTAGCCAAGTCAATGGAGCCTCAGATATGGCAGAAGTGCATGCGTCTGCAAGCCAGGAATGGGGAGATCACAACCAAGAAATAATGGACTCTGCCAGCAATTCTGTTTAGGAGAAAGCTGCCCCTCCAGCCCTCACCCTGAGGCCAGACAATTCGGTTCCTCGTCCCCTATATGTACCTTGCGCCTTTCAAGCTGCTGCCCCAGAGCTGGAGCTCAGACCTCGTAAGTCTGTCAATGAGTAAGTCAGTGCGTGGGCCCTTTAAGAGGAGCACTGGGAAAGCAGTCGCCCTCCGTCTCACTCAGCCATAATCTCTGCGGGTTTTCACAGCCAGAAGTTGTAGGGACTTCTCTTCCTGGCACTGGAGCCCTGGGCTGGGGAGCCTGGTGTGGGGCTGGGATCCCTCGCTCCTCCAGGGGGACCTCCGCAACCAAGATATCCCTTCCGGTTTTTAACAGCCACTCACAGGTGGAGGACTAGCTTGTTCAGCATCTCTGCCCCCTCCCATCAGTCTCAAGGCGGCTTCTTCTGTATGTCTTAGTTTTAGGACTTCTGTTCAGCTAGACTTCAGGGGATTCTCAATGATGGTTGTTTTGTAGTTTAGTTGTAATTTTGATGTGGCTGTGAGAGGAGGCAAACACAGCGTCTACCTACTCTGCCATCTTGACTGGAAATCCTCACAACTTATTCTTAAATCACTACTTCATTGCTTTTCAGACTTATATGCTTTATCTTTACATCACATAACGTCAGTGCCCAGGACAGTAACTTGAAAACAGTGGATATGTTATATATCCTATATATATAACTATTATATAACTGCATATTTCCCTGAAAGAAAATTCATAATCTAAATAACAGAATCATAGAGCAAAAACTTGAGCGGTTTAGCAGCTAGACTTCTAGCAGCGTTACACACTAAAAGTGTGATCCAGGTTGCAGAGTGTCCATCCTTTTTGTTAGAGCAAAGGCAAGCTGGACAGCATTGAGTAGGTTCCAATCCCCACGGACTGTCAATGGATAGAGTCGTCCAGTACTGATGCAGATTTTTTTTACATTCCTACCATTATCCCAGGGGTCTCTTTTAGAATTGCAGGGACAACTCAGCATTCATTCACCAGGAGTCCCAGTCTACTAAGACTGCTGATTAATAGTTTGTATGATGCGCATACCAAAGAACTGACTAGAAGGGGAAGATGCCATTATTTCAGGCAAACTATCAATTATTAGAGGGCTATATAAAGATATCCTAATACTTCTTACACAGTTGTAGAACCAATGATGGAGTCACATTTTTATCAGAAGAATACTATGGATATCTTCATATTCATAGCCATAGCATTAATCCAGGCTTTTATTCCTTTATGCTTGTATGAGTGTATGTTTTTACTGTGAGCATTTACAGTGTTCCAGGAACTGTGCTAAGTGATTATGTGTGTTTATGTGTATATGTGTGTACATATATAAACACCTACATATGCATTTAACCTTCCAGCAAGTCTAAACAAGGTAGGCTTTATTATCCCCTTTTCTAGATAGGCCTGTTTTGCTATCATGTACCAAAGCCCAGTCTCTTAACCTCTATTTTATACTAACTCCCACAATCATTTTCTTGCCTGTAGTCTAGCCAGATTCATATTCCTGAACCATACCTGGTAAATCCATGCTTATGAAACTTTAACAGCACCTTAGCGCTTTCTAGATTGAAGCCAGCTTCCTCAGACTGACCTTCAAAGTTCCCAAATTGAACTCACCTTACTTTCTCTGACTCTCTAGAACAGCCACTTGACCCAACGTTACTTTTACACCCAAAATAGTAAGTTATGATGATGACTTAAATATGTATATGCATGGGGCCGGCCAAGTGGCTCAGTTGGTTAAGAGCACGAGCACTGAGCAACTGGGTCACCGGTTCAATTCCCACATCGGCCCGTGAGCTGCACCCGAGCTGAGCTGCCACTGAGCCACCAACAGGTGGCAGGATGGCTCAGCTGGTGAGAGCACATGCTCCTAAGAACAAGGTTGCTGGTTAGACTCCCGCATGGGATGGCGGGCTACACCTACCCGCAACTAAGACTGAACACAGCACCTTGAGCTCAGCTGCCCTGAGCTGCCGACTGTCGGCCAGATGCCTCAGTGGTTAGAGTGTGTGCTCTTAGCAACAACGTTTCTGGTTCAACTCCCACATGGGATGGTGGCTAATGCCCCCCTGCAACTAAGACTGAACACAGCACCTTCAGCTGAGTGGCTGCCAGCCGCCAATGGGCGGCTGGATGGCGACTGGACTTGGAGCTGAGCTAGCTGTGCCCTCCACAACTGAGATTGAAGGACAACAACTTGGCTGTTCCCCTTGCTCAATTCCCCAACACTGCTCCCCTGCCCCAATTCCCCAATAAAAATCTTAAATTAAAATAAATAAATACATATATATATATATATATATATATATAGAGAGAGAGAGAGAGAGAGAGAGAGAGAGAGAGAGAGAGAGGGAGACAGGGAGGGAGAGAGAGAGAGGGAGAGAGAGAGATAGATGCACAGACACAGACACCTCGTTCTTGCCACCCAGATGGCCCTTTCCTCCTTCCCTCCTACAACCCAACACTACCTGTTTCAGGACCACTGCAGATTCGCCACCAAATCAACTTCCCTGATACAGTGCCTCCCTCACTATTCCTTCCTTTCTTTCAATTCTCTCTGCTATAGTATTAAATCTCTACTGTACTGACACACACATACTTAACTTTCTCTAATCCATGTACATATGAACATCCTTAGAAACAGTACATTCCTTTTTAGCAGAGGATACATCTTTTAAAACCCCCTCCTTCTACCTCCTTCAGTGTTTCTCAATTTCATAGCATCAACAGAATCTGTCCCCGTTTTGTTTATATTTGAACCAATTTGTTCATATCTTCTCCAAGAAGATCTCAGGGGGCTTAGTCACACAAGTTTACCAGTGCTCTAATTCAACTTGTAGTCATACAAGTTTACCAAATTGTATGTTTAAAATTTATGATTCACATTTAAAATAGCTGTGCAGAGTAAGTGGAGGGGTTTCGTTGTTGTTGTTTTTTAACTTCACTTTCATATAAATATGTTCTCTGGAAATAGACATGTAACTTTACAGGGCTTGTCACTCCCTGATAGAATGCTGTTATTTGTTCCTGGAGCGGAAAAGAATGTAATCTTCACGAGGACAAGGGCTCTGTTTTGTGCACTGCTAAGTACCAGACCCAACTCAAAGCCTAGCTGACACACAGTGGTATTTAAATATCTACTGAATTAGTGAATATACGCCTAGGTAGGTCATATACAGGCATACAGATCTTTAAATGAAATAGCGAAAGTTTTTACACAGTACTTGTAAACCACAAAAATGAACGTTATGGCTTACCGCTTTTCAAAAATTAACTTGAAAATGATATTAAAACAGCAAAACTTTAGGAACCCTAAAGTTCTGAAGGCAAACTTAGTTTATATGAAACTGAAAGCACTACATCTACACAGAGACCTTGGATTTGAAGTTTAAGCACTACATTTGTTTCCCGAAGCTTTGTTTTTCATTCTACAGTCTGAAGATGTTTAGCTATTCAAGAAAAACTGGAGTACAAACTCCAAGATCCAGTATTTGCCCATCTAGAGTGAGGACCATTCATAATCAAGTCGCTGGCGTGTTAAAGACAATGGAAAGGACCCACGGTTCTTCTCCAAAGCTAAACGCGAGCCAAAGGAAGGCACATCCCAGTAAACAAAGCCAGCCCAGGGCCTGAGCGCCCACCCCAGACAATAGGAGCACAGGCAGAGGCAGATCTGGGGTTGGGTCAACAGGAGGTGGAGTCTCAGAGAGCCCACTCTGCAAAGTAATCCGTGCCAGCAGCCGGCCAGACGCCGGGACGAAGGAGACCTGGCTCCGAGGCGACCTACCAGCATGTGTGTGTGTGTCGGGAGGGGGTGCGTGATGCGGAGCACTGGGCACAATAGCTGCCAGGTTTTGTGTTTGTTTTGTCAGCTACGGTGACCCTAGCTGCTTAACCCCTAAGCACTGGGTGCGAAGAGGAGAATCCCCGGAGGACCAGGCGCGCGCGGGCCGGGAGGAGAGCCCCGGGATGGCTTACTTTGAGAAGGCAGCTGTTGAGAGGGGCGGGCACTGAGGTGCGGTGGATAACTAGATCCTGGCCCGGGTTGTGCACGTCGCAGATGAGTTCCAGCACAGCGATGCTGCGGGCCGTGGACACGGATACGCGGTGGTCTTCGGACCAGGCCAGCGGCTCCACGCCGCTCGCTGCATACTGCAGCCTCACGGCCGGCTCCCGCCGAGTCACCAGGAGGCGGAACGCGGCGCTGGGCCCGGGGGTCGCGTCTGCCGCCGGCTCCTTCCCGCCCGCCTCGCCCTCCTCCTTCTTGGGCGGCGCAGGCCCGTCGGCCGCGGGCTCCACCCGGGCCTTGTCGGCCGTGTTACTTTCCATTTAGATGCAGAGGCCGGATCCCCGGGCGCGCCAATCCCGCGTCGCCGTCCCGTTACCGCCTTCCGCGCCGCCGCCACCAGCCCCCAGCGCCCTCCGCGGCCGTTTTCCCCCCCTCAGGCCCGGAGCGCCGCGGAACCTGGAAGGACCCCGCCGTTGCTAGGCGACCCAGCCCTGCCAGGTGGCCAAGGCGCTGCCTGTCTAGAAAGCGCGCCACCTCTGCGGGCTGGACCGAAGCGCCGGGACTTGGCAAGGGGTAGCTGGGGGCGGGGGGGCAAGGAGCCTCGAGGACCTCCCTTTCCGAGTGACCAAGCGCCAGACCCCTTTAGTGACCTCCCCGGGCCACTAAAGTGCTGAGGAAACAGTAACCTGGCGACTAGTGAAGGAAACGTTGGTTAAGTGGCGCACGGCTTCTTGTTCCTCAGAGAAATCCCAAGAACTTCACAAGCATGAGCGCTGGAGCTGAGTGTCACTTGGCATCCCCTGCCACAGGCCAAGCCAAGAGGAACGCCAAGCAGGGTGGCCACCCTACCCTGGCCGGTGTCCCTCGTCCACCCCGTGGCCCCGGCGCCGCGGCTCCGGTCACCAGGAGGATGGACCGTGTGTTCGCAGGCCCTCCGGAACCCGGAAGGGGAGCGGCCGCAGGACCTGGCGGGGCAGCTACGTGGGGTCCTCGCGCGCGTCCCACGTGGGCCTGAGCGGAGACGCGGTACCGGTTCGAGAGGTCCGGAAGCGCCCGGCTCTCCCGCGTGTGGCGGCGCCTTCTCGCCGGCCATGGCAGTCACCGACGGCGTGCTTCTCCACCTTTCCGACCCCCCGGCCGCCGCCTCCAGGACGTTCTCCGGACCCCGCAGGACTCGGGCGAGTCAGGTGAGTTCTGACCCGCCTTCAGATCCGTCTGCACCGGGGCCCGGGCCGCGAGCTGCCGCCTTTCCTCTGTGTCGGGTTTGGAGTTATTTGCGGAGTTAAGGTGGGAAAGTCAGGCACCAGGCAGCGTCTGGGGGAGTTGCTGAGCAACACGTGTCTCAGACCTGAACACCCCCCCGCCGGGACGTTCTTGGAGGGAGCGGAGCGGGGGGCAGAGGGGCGAGGGCTTGCTGGGGCTGCTAGTTGGAGGACTCGGGAGGAAGGGGTTGGAGGCTGTCTCCGTAGAAGACAGGAGTCCCGGCCCTGTCATTTACCAGCTACATCCCTTCTCTCAGCCACCGTTTCCTTGACTTTAAGGGATGTTTGTTTCAGGAACGAGGACTAGAGACTCGAAATTTAAGAGCTTTCAAAAATGGCATCAATTTCATCCGTGTGCAATGGAGGGGGGAAAGAAAAGACAACTCATTCAGTGGAATTCTCTCACTAGGGATGCGCGAGAAACCTTAAACTTAATCCAAGCCGGAGCTGAAAACTGGTTTCTAGGATGATTGACTTACCTCCTAGAAAAGGGGAGGGCTACAGGTTAGAAAATCCGTTGTAAAATCACGTTACCTAAAAGACCGGGAAGGATGCAGTCTCTTGTCAAGGAAGGTGTGTGTGTGCGTGCGTGTGTGTTTTCTTGAAAAGGCAACAGATAATTCCATTAAAAAGTTAACTGACAAAGTTCAGTTCAGCTAGTGTGTTGAAGCTGAAATTTCTTAAGTTCATATAAAGCTAACGCCCAGTGTCTGGATTCTCTTGGGTGATTGATTGATTGATTTTAGTGAAAAGCTTTAGAATTTAGAGGCTTGGGAGTAAGGAGTTTTAGCGAGCCAATGGGCCGCATCGCTGCCGGAGCGGGGAGGGGAAGTACAGCGGAGCCCCTGGGATTTGGAGTAGGACAGACCTGGGATTAGATGCCAGTCTTGCAACATGCTACCTCTGTGACTTGGAGGAAGTTACTTCACCTCTCTGATCCTCGCTTTTCCTAGTCATAAAATAAGAAAAATAATTTCTCCATCATGTAAGGTTATTATGAGGATGAAATGAGAGCGTATACATAAAGACACTAGACGTTTTCTGACCCATAGAGGCACTTAATAAATGCCAATGATTAAAAAATCAATAAATTCGATTGGCTCCATTTTGTGTAATAGAACTGCTCCATCGGAGGTCAGTGGGGTGCTTGTGCCTTGTGCTTGCCTAGGAACGATAATAACACACAGGAAACACTTATTAAACCTGTTGAGTGAGTTGAATAAATCAACGTAGGGCATCTGGTGTTATGATTGCGTGAACTACTGTGTCAAAGGGCATTAATGAGACGATGACCCGTGTCTGAGTGGTCTTGTCTGCACCTACATTTTTGTTTGTGTCTTGAATGAGAATTGTGGATGTGCTGATCAAATTTGCCCGTAGTCTGAACTTGGGATGAGTAGCTAATAGACTAGATTTGGAAAGACTTTGATAGCTTAAATTATGCGGTTTCTAACACTGTGCAGGCTATTTTGTTTCTAGAAATGTTTTCTGGTTATTAAATTAGTACAAATTTATTGTAGGAAATTTGGGAATTAGATTTTAAAAAAACAAAACACCCATAACTGTGGTTAACATTTTGGTGTTTATCCTTCTAGAAAACAAAACAAAATAGGGATCAAACTATTCATGATGTTTTCTAACCAAACAGGATACAATTAATAAATGGTATGATAGCATTATTGTCAGGAACGTGGGCTGTGGAATCCATGCCTGGGCAAAGCCTGGGTCCCTCAGTGATCCTGGGACAGATTACCTCACAGCCCCTCCTCAGTGTTCTCACCTTAAAATGGGATGACACCAGTACCCACGTTGATAAATGAGATAATTCATGTAAGTGCTTAGGATTACTGCCTTGTGTAATAGCTACTAGTACATCTATTAAACATCAGAGACATAGGCTCTAGACTCCTATGGCTAGATAGGCTCCAGAGGCCATCTGCCATAATCCCCTTGTTTTACAGGGGCAGGAGCAGAGACGCTGAGAGAAGTGACTTGCTTAATGTTGTGTAGCTGATTTTGAGGCGACCTGGATATGTCCTTGCTCCTCTCTGCTCAGATGCCACTCATGAAGCCTTCCTGTCTCCTTGTCTTCCTCCCCCTTGCTGTAGGCCGTGGTGGTCTTTCTTATTATTTGTGCTTATTATCTGTACATACCCCTTTTACAGTACAGATATAGGTTTAGATTTGTGGTTTTACACTTTTGTCTCTTGCACTAGTCTGTGATTTCCTAAAGGATTTGACTTATCTTCTAGCTTTGTATCTTCGGGACCAAGCTGCTTGATAGCCGCTAAGTGGTCGGTTTTTCAAATTAATGTGTTGTGGATGCTGGGGGTGGGGTGGGGTGGGGTAGGAAGGCTAACACGTAGTAGAATAGTGTCTAGATTGTGGAAAGGGATAATTCCGTTGTGTGGTCATTCGTTCATCTTACAAGTATTTATTGAGCACGTACTTTGTGCCAGACGTGAGCCAATGCAGGGGATGACTGGGCGGAGAGAGGAGGTCAGGAAAGGCTCTTCTGAGGACCCGGGAGGTCAAGACCTGAAGGGTGAGTGTGAGTTTGCCAGCCAAAGGGACGGTTGGAGACATGGGTGTGGGGATAGCCTGTGCAGAGGCCCTGAGGAGGGAAGGCGCATGGTACATTCCAGGAATCAAGGAAGACAGGGCGGCCGAGGTTACAGCTGGGCTGGTGAGACAGGCAGAGGCCAGATTCCAGAGGGCTCTGTAGATCGAATACAGGTTTTTGATAAGAGCAATGGAAAACCTGTCTAATATTGTGCTTAACTCTGAATGCTTGCTTTTAGAGAGAAGTTGACATGGATATAAAGGGTGACCAGGATGGTAAGGGGCTTAAAGTTGGTGTCCTGTTTGGAGTATTCAGTCCAAAGAGGAAGGAGAAAGGGAGTCATATGATGTCTGAAGGAATGTTACGTGCAGAGGAAATGAGCTTGTCCTGTGTTGCTGCAGAAAGTAAACCTCAGGCTCATAAGGAGATGTTCAGGGTGGCACATGTTGCCTGAATGTCAGGAACAGCTTCTGACCCCCCTAGGATTCGGTCTGCCTTGAGGGACGGAGAGCAGTAAGGAGGTGTGCAGGCAGAAACCGCAAGGCCATCTGTCAGGCAGCCTGTGGTAGGACGTCTGTGCGTGTGGGAGTGGCCTTTTGGCCTTTTTATGCTCCAAGAGTCTATGAATCTGGTAAAATCTGCACATTTCATTACACCTGGCAAATGATTCCACAGACCTGAAATTTGACTTCATCTCTTTCTTTAATCTGAAAATTCATGAACTTGGGACTTCGTAAAATGAAATTTGTAAAATGAAGCAAGTCAGTACTTATTATGTATATTATTTGAAGTTGTACTTATTGAGTTAGATATAGGAGTCCTTGTGGTTGCCAGGAACAAAGAATATTGTTGTTAGGTTAGCCTGAAACTGACAGTCATGGCTAAAACAAGCTGATGTGTAAATGAAAGTCCTCATTTCAAGCTAACAGGAAAATAACATATTCCCAGAGAATCCAAAACGCCAGAATAACAAGCACTGGCTACTCACAGCATGTTTTGATATTCATGTGTAAATTGGAAGAGAAGGCCAAAGAAAATAGAGGAATTGGATGTTTCTTCTCCTAGGGGGAGTTTGGACATCGTACACTTAACCACATTCATGTTATGGAAATAAGAAGCAACAGGCAAGAGAATATCTAGTGGTATAGCCTGTAATCGGTAATCAGATGGGGAATTGAAAGGCGAGGAGAGCTGGAAATAATTGTGATAGAAGTGATGGATGGAGCAGAATTCTCATTTGGAATGGAAGCGGTGAGCAGGAATTGTCTCCAAGCCACCTGAACCTGGGGGAGCAGCTTGAGGGGAGATAATGACAGCGATCCCAGCCCTCTAGAATGGAACAGTAATGAAGGTTTCCACTCCCTGGGCCTGAGCTGGGACACAGCATCCATGTGTCGTCCTTCACTCGGGCTCTGTTGGTAGAGAGAACTGATCCCCACCCCCACCCCATTCTTCTGGTGTAAATGGATTCCTAGGGATATGGACTGACTTAGCATGCACATTTCACAAGATGGGCTCTCTTGCAAAACACTCCATTGTTAAATTCAGCCCGAAAAATGTGTCTCCCTTCTTGATCCTCACACTCACGTTGGTTGAGTTGAGAGTTAAGATGGATGGTGAGGTCTAGTAGATGAGTGAGCTGAGATTTTGTGGATTCTTTTTTTCCTTTTGGAGAAAAAAAGCTGAGTCAAAGAATGTGATTGCAGACCCTAAACTGTTGCTTGACATATGGGGCATAATGATCTCTGCAGGGCGCGATGCAATTCTGTGGGCAGTCAGGCTTCACTCCGAGGTCTGTCTTCATGGACTAATGCATCTCTGCTTGCTCTCTCCTTTGGGGAACGACGCAGCAAGCACAGGCCACCAAAAGAAAATACCAGGCGTCCGGTAAGGTTCCCCCAGCGAAACGGAGAAATGACACACCCAGTCACCCAGCCGAGAAAACTGCTGAGAAAGAAATGCAGAGGACTTTTAAGGGGAAGAAGGCACAGAAGGTGTTTTCTCCAAAGAAGTCTTCGGCTAGTGCGGCTGGTAGAAACCCAGAGCAGAAACCGAGCATTAAGACTTCATCGTTGTTTAAAAACAACCCTGAAATTCCAGAGCTTCACAGGTATGCCCGCCCAGGTGCAGGCGCACCTCCCGAATTAAAGGAACTAAGTGTGCTCTGCCTTTTTCTTTGTTTGTTGGAACTGATGCCTGGGTTTTGTTCATCATTTGCAGACCTGTAGTACAGCAGGTTCAAGAAAAAGTATTTTCTTCAGATGCTTTTCATGACCTGGACCTCCACCCACATTTAGTAAGTATCTCAGTGGTTTGTGCGATCTGTGTTGTTAACGTGCTTCTTCATTCAGAATGTCTGTGGAATGGCGGTTCTAGGAAGGAAAACCAAAGAATGGTTATCTCTGCTCCAGGTTACCTGAAGGAGCGAGCTCAGGCTGCTAAGGTTCTCCTCTGGGACAGTTCAGCTGAGCTTACATTATTGTTCACCGTGTCCTGACCCCCACGCCCACACCCCTTCCTGACTTTCCTCACCTAATTCGGTTTGGGACTGGCATCCACTTACCGGGCTTTAAGACGACCTCCTCATGACTGGATGGGTATGACATTGAGGCTCTTCTGGGTGGCAGGTGTCTCGGTGACCATAGGAGAGGGAGCTGAGCTGGTGCCTTGCTGAGAAGGGATGTCTGTAGTTACAAAGACTTGAAGGAAGAAGAGGCTATTTTAACATGCATTTTCTACAAACGAGAACACTTTTTTTTTTTTTTAACCCATGAGTGAGTTTTCCAGGCTTGCTTATGAATAAAGAGAGAAAAATATATGCACCTTTAGGGAGCCCAGATTTCCTTTGCTCAAAATGGTCATGGCTTACCCCCTCCTTCAGGGTGAGTTATATAAGCTTGTTTTCTCACCGACAAGTCCAAGCAGGGTTTCTCAGGCTTGGGATGGATAACGCTTTGTTATGGGGACTGTCCTGTGATTGTAGGATGTTTAACAGGACCCTGAGTCCCTACTCACTTGATGCCAGTAGCATCCCCTCCCCCAGTTGTAACAATCAAAATTTCTTCTGACATTGCCATGTGAGGCGGGAGGGCAGGGCAGAACCACCCGCAGCTGAGAACCATTGGGTTAGAGGAACTTAATTTGATCATGGTGGTCAATTTTATCCCAATGTTTTCTCCCCTTTTTGCATCCTTATTTGCATTAAATAGATTTGTACCAAAAGTTGACAGTTAAAGAAAAATATTTATTTTGTCTTCTTTTTCAGATTTCCACAATAAATACAGTCTTAAACATGTCTAGTATGACCAGGTAAGAGTTCCAGGCCAGTCTTGATTTTCTTAGGACTTTCCTGGGTATAATCATATAAAACCTGAATTGTCTGTGGAGGACAGAGCCAATTTGTGTCTTGGTGTTAGAGAAAAAGGCCAGGTTAGTGACCATCGAGGACTTGACATATAACTTAGCCAGCCAGTTTCCCCACCTGTTAAATGGAGAGACTGGGTCCCCATCCAGTTCTGCTCTCAGCTCTAAACTGGAAGAGATTGCTGCTCCGGAAGATGGTCTGTGTAAGAGCTCACTGTTGCCCGTGCTTCCCTGAAAATAATTTGTCCAAAATGTAGACTTTATTGTGTCATTTCTTAGTAGTAAGAATTAGAGGCAGCCTAAAAACGGGGTAAATATTTGGTTGGATATAATGGGATACTGAAGAAAATTTTTAAATGTTTGTTAAGAATGATGATCCTGGAAAGTAGAAATAAAGCAGTAAAGGGTGTGGAGCAGAGGGGCCTTGCTCTCTTTGAGTATGTCTGCCTCTGTACATTTTAATAATCCCACTTTACTTAGAAGTAAAAATAAGAATACTGAAGAATAAAATAAGACCCCCCCACCACCATTTATTATTTTTTTGCTCAGTTTTGTCAACCAAATTTAAATTATTTCTGTACCCATTTTGTTGTTAGTTGTTAAATGCACACATGGACATATATCTTAGTGTGTCTATAACAGTTCTGTCTTGGTTTTCTGGAGTGTGAAGAGCAGCAGTTCCTGGCTATCTGGAGGGCTCACAGCTTCCTCGTACTCTTCTGCGTGAGAACCTTTCCATAATGTATTCTCTGTTACAGAAGGCGAGAGAGTATATGATGTACTTTCACGGTAGCTCCGGGCTGTCATCATGCCTGTCCCATTTTTGGTTTTAATTAGTATGAAAGAATGGCCAATCTCTGGCTTGCCTCAACATTTTCAGCTGCGTTCCAGAAATTTAACTGAGGTTTTATTCTTCTAATCATCAAGTTTCTCAGCACCTTCACTCGCGTGTTTAGGTAGTGTCTAAGGTGGCAGCTGATAGACAAATCAAAGCACGGGGCCATTGCATTTTGTGTATCGTGCGTCTCTGCCTGTGAACATGAGTGGGTAATGCGTTATGGATAACCACATGTTCTTTCTGCCCAAGTGTTCAGAAGCAAAGCATTCCTGTGTTGCTGGAAGGCAGAGATGCTCTTGTGAGATCCCAGACGGGCTCAGGTCAGTCATCATTTCATTTCTGCCCATCGTCCCATGGTACCCAGGCCATGGTCATGTCATAGGTCATGTAGTAAGGTGTCTGTAGCGGTGGCTGCCTTGTTTTATTTGGGGGAGGGGAGGCCACGCTTGCTTTTGATTAGAGCCCTGAATTAGTTCACGTAGTGAAAGGAAGGTGTCTCCAGTCGGAGCCATGATCAGGAAGCAGTCAAGCTCAGCTGTCATTCCTCAGAGCCTGCCTCAGGGCTTTACCCGGCCTCACCCTCTATGGCCAGAGCTGCCCGTCCTCACTTCAGTGTCCAGGAGTATTTCCTCCTGGTATTAAAACAGTTCTGACATGAGCACTGATTGGATGCCGGTCGTTAGCTCACACATGGAACACTTCTTGTGCCCACATCAGCCTGGGTTTTCTCTGGTGACCCTCTTGTGCCCTTCATGGCTGGTCAGTTGTTCACTCCCCACAGCTCAGCCACCACTGAGGTGGGTAGAAACCCAAAGATTTTGTCCTCCCTGTGATCCTCCTTGGTCGTTAGAGGCTGGGGCTGAGATTCAGACATCAACACTGCAGAGGACATTTACTTGACCTCTGAGCTCATTTCAGAGGTCAGCATGACTTCGGAGGAGGAGTTGTCACCTGGAGACAGTCGTCAGGTTGAGATGTTGTGTAATCTGGGAAATGTATCATCTCCCTTGTTAGATGGATAAAGGAGCGGAAGCCGCAGGTTTTTAGAAGTAGTACTGAATTTACAAAGCAAAACTAGGAATGTGCAGACAGGTGACTTCCGTTCCCACCTCTCCTGGATGTGTCACACGTACTTTTCTTGTCCCCAGATTTAGTACTGTCCCAAGGTAGCAGGACTTGGGTCCTTTACTGTTGTTGCTTTTGTTACATCGACAGGGTCTCTGATTTTAATTGCTTCTGTGTTTGTTTAAAAGGTAAAACTCTTGCCTATTGCATCCCTGTGGTCCAGTCCCTTCAAGCAATGAAAACAAAAATACAAGTGAGTATAAAATGTATTTTTCTGTTATTGTTCATAGTGCGTAAGAAACCATCAATCTGAACTACAGCAGTAATACTGGGACTGAGAGAATGTTCTCACTTAGCGTTGTTTTCTTGTGTCTTTTTAATTCTTTTATTACATAAGCATGTTGCCTCTAAAGATTGCCCACTACAAATAGAATAAATTTGTTTCATAATCATCATACAAGGAAGTCAGTCTCATAAGGAACCTTGTGTCTGACGGCCGAATGCTTGTGTGTGATCTTGAATCTGTTACTGCCTTGGCCCCACTGAGCTGTAGGTATTAATGTTACTACAATAGTTTACAAAAAAAAAGTGGAGGCTTGGCAACATTAAGTGACTGACTAAGGCCATGAGGTGAGGAGTGGTGGGTCTGGGCTTCCAGCCCAGCTCTCTGTGGTTCCAGAGACCAAGCTCTTCTCACTAAGAAGGGTGAACATTATATTTAAAACGGTGGTTTATGATGAATGGTAGATGTGAAAATAAGCTCCCAAGTAGTAGTGAGTCTGACAATTGGGCTTTCTTGTAGTTAGCATTTCTGGAACTTATCTTGCATTGTGAAACACATTCAGTTGGTGCCTGGGCCAAAGGGGCACAGTTGGGTTTCTTGGATTCCCTAGGAGGCCAGTTAACTGCCATGTTCCATAGGCATAGGTGTCATCTCAAAACCCAGCCCAGAACCCCACAGATATAGCCCTGGTTAGCCTCAGTGGAGAGGGAATGGCGAGATCAGAAATAGGAAGTGAGGTGGGTTCCTCGACTCCCAGGTGAGAGGAGCTAATTGGTTCCTTTTTTTTAGTTTGGACATGCAGAGTTCGACGTGTGTTGAACCTACCCGATATTTGCGTGACAAAGTAAATAATGATAGTATTGGATTGTAGCCCATAGACAAAAACAAATATCCATGAGTCCAAACTGAAATTATTGAATAAATAAATAAATGGGAGAAGGGAAAGCCCTTCCTTATAGTAGAATTCCAAAGGCTAAATGTAGAAGTGATGGAAATCGAACATCACTGGCAGATGCCACAGTGATACTGTTTCAGGCAAGAATCATCACAGATGCTCAAATGAGTGGATGAAAGTGTGATGAAAACGAGATATTTACAGTCTCAAAGTATCCCCCCACAAGATACTTTTTAATCACAAAGGGAAAACTAACTTTACAAAGGGAAGGCTGGCTGCCTCCTCCTTGACCAGGTGATCAGAGCGGGCATCACCGGTGCTGAGGTATGGCAGCCTCAGGTGCTTCCTGCAAGTTTCACGGAGGACGCAACGTCACTTCTGTGGTTTTCCTGCCCAAAACGCGTAGCCCGACTTTAATCATAAGCAAACATCAGACAAACCCAAATGGAAAGACATTCTGCAAAGCAACTGGCCAGTGCTCTTCCCAAGTATGAAGGTCCCGAAAGACAAATACCAAAGAACCACCTACCCCAGATGAAAAGAGACAAAGGAGAATGACAGCTAAGGGCAACATGTGGTTCTGAATTGGGTCCTGGTCTGGAAAAAGGATGTTAATAGGCTAGTGAAATTCGAATAAGGCCTGTGGATTAATTGGTAGCATTGAATCAGTGATAATTTCCTGGTTCTGATTGTTGCACTGTGATTTTGAGAACTGATTAGGAAGCCGGGAGAAGGGCTTACAGAAGTCCTCTGTACTATTTGTGCAGATTTTTTCTAAGTCTGAAATTATTTCAAAATGAATGAGTTTAAATTTTATTTAAACTTTATTTAAATAATTTTAAATCAATAAAACAGAAATCCTTCACAATCATCCAAATGGTGGAACCTTATATAGCCATTAAAAGTGAAGTTTTTCGGGTAAAAGCTTGATCACTGCACTGTCCACCTGAAGCTGATGTTGTGTCCTATTGTATGTCAACTATAAGTGAATATATATATATAGTCACAGGATGTGGAGTATGGTGTGGGAATGGAATCAATGGAATTGTAATAGATATGTATCATATCGGGGGGCGGGGAGTGGGGCAGCGGATTGGGGGTGGGGGGTTGTCACTTTGAGGGTAAGAAGTATAACTAGTGCACTGTGTTGTATACCTGAAACTAATTAAAATAAAATAAAAAATATAAATCACTTTTGCCAAAAAAATTGTTTTCCAGTTATTATTTATGAACTTTAGTGTTCTTGCCGTGTTAATTGAAAAGAGGCACGTTACAAACCATCACGTATAATATGACTCCAAGTTCATAAATGATAATCTGTGTGTATATCTGTGCATAAAAAGATGAGAAAGATACTTATCAACTTACTAATATTGGTTTTCTCTGATGTGGATAAGAATTTTATTTCTAAAGATGACTAAGTTTTCCTTCCCATTAGGCACTTTACAGTGAGGGAATTCGTACAAAGGGCTTATTTAGCATTGTACTTGGTACGTAAGGAAGAAATGCAAATTATCGCAACTGTGTAGTGAAATCTCATTTATATACTACAGAAGAACTTGCCAATAGAGGGGGTTTTTTTGTTTTTGTTTTTTTTATTTCATACAAAGTTGTAGAGTTTGACAAGATGTGAGCTGGAATGTGTCCCCCAGAACTCACCCAGCTGTCTCATTTCATAGACCCATGAACTGCGGAAGGAGTGATTAGATTACATACCCGGGGGGAGGGTGTAGTGGGCAGCTCTGCCCCAATCCTGGGTCTGAGTGTGACTTCAGGCCATCCATTCCCCACCCCTGTGCCTCAGTGACCTCACCTGTGACAGGGTACTAATGGCAGTGCCTTTCTCCTAGGGTGAGGATTAAGGGAGTTTAATGCATGTGGAGGGCTGAGAACTGGTTTCTAGCACCCGGTAATAGAACCTGCTTATTAAGTGTTAGCTGCCATCATCACCAACACGGTCGTGTGGCCAGTTTAAAGGGCAGAGATTTGATTTGCTTATACGTGTTCAGAACCATTAACAAGCCATATCGTTTTTTTTATTTGCTCAAATATTTTTTAATATCAGTAACAGCTCATCTTACTCAAGACTGAAATATTCTGTAAAAGAGTTTTCTAAGCCCAAATTTAATCCACTTATCTCAAGTAATATTCAATATAGGGCCTTGGAGTTCATTGTAAAATTATTTGACCTGTAAAAAACCTATCTGGAGGGAGCAGCAGATTCAAGGCACCCAACAGAGTCTTAAATTACTTTGGTGATGAAATGAGCACGGGCTGCTTTTCTGTGCTTTCACTCTTTCAGTTACCGTATTTCGGCTCTGATTTTTCTAACATCACATCCGTCCTCCTTCACTCGCTTCTGCCCTGCGAGGAATTGATTTTTCTTTCTTCTCCTTTGTGTAGTAACACCTTTTGAAATGTCAGAATCTCCTAGCGTCACACCGTGGCACGTTGATACCGTTGTACTAACATGTTTACCGTTCCTTGCCTGGGCTTCAGCACAGCCGCCTGAAGTTGGGGTTGAGCACAGACGGCTCAAGTTTGAATTCCAAATCCTTTTCTCCTTGTGGGTAAATGTTTCCCATGCAAAACATGAAAGTGATGCTTGTGATTGAATTTGCTGCTTGCTGTTGTACATCTGCGCTTATCTTCTGCACCAGCAGTGTTCTCATTCGTTCGCTGTCTGGGACCACTTTCCAGGCGCAAGGCGCCGTTGACTGGGAACCGGCAGCAGATTACTTTGTTTTCTTCTATTATTATTATTATTATTATTATTATTATTATTACTACTACTACTACTACTTTTAGATATAATGTACATGGGTAAAAAAAATTTAAAGAGTACCAAAAACTATATAGTGAAAAGCAAGTGGTTCACCTCCTCCTTTCCCCCAGGGGGAGGGGTCTCCTGTCAGGTGCAGTGGTCCTATCACCAGTCTTGTGTGTGTTCTCCAAGGATATGCTTGGCATGTAAAGCAAATATGAATATGCGTAGTTCCTCTTGCCCCTTTAATTGAAGTTTTTGTTTATTTGGTTTGATACACAAATGGTTGCTTATTATACGTGATGTTCTGTGCCTTGCTTTTGTTCACTTAATATGTTTGGGGGAGAGTTTCTATCGTAAGTACCGTGTCTGTCTGCCGCGTTTTATAATGGCTGCCTAGTATTCCACTGTGTGTATGAACCATAAATTATTGAATCAGTCTCCCATTGGTGGAATTTACATTTTGTTCAGTATGTTGCTACAAACAAGGCTATATAAATATCCTACATTCCGGAAAACATGTTACACCTTCTTTATGCACACGTATGAGTGTATCTTTTAGATAAATTCCAGTAAGTGGAATTTTCATTTTTATTTGATAGATGCTGTCAAAATTGACCTTTAAAGGAGTTATACCAATTTTTTTTTTGAGTTATGCCATTTTGCACTCTCATCAAGAGTGTATAAGAGTTCCTTTTTTGCTCATACCCTTATCCGCACTTTGAATTGTTTAATTTTGCTCATTTCACAGAGGGAAGATACTATATTATAATTTCAATTTGAATTTTTCTTAGTGAAGTTGAACATCTTTTCATATGTGTAAAAGCCATATTTTGAATTTTTATTTTCATAAATTAGCTGCTTATAGCCTCCATTTTTCTACTTGAGTTGTTGGTCTTTTTATTTTTATATTTAATTGAATTATAGACCTTCCCTATAAGCTCGGGAAATCGGCCCTTTTTCTTACATGCGGCATATTTTCTCCCACGTTGTCATTTCACTCTTGATTGTGTTTAGGTATTATATTTTCATTCTGAAATTTAAAGTTTTTATGTAATAAAATATATTGGTGTTTTATAATTTCTGAGTTTTAGGTTATCTATAAAAAGGCCAACTTCATTCCAACTTTATTTTTCTAACAGTTTTTTCTCAAAGGACTTTTGAAAAACCCATCTTTTCCCTACTGATACAAAATTTATTTCCTAAATTTCTGTATGTATTTGATCCTATACTAGATCCTTATATGCTGTTGTAATCTCTATGTGCCAGTATCAGTTTTTTTAAAGCTACAATAGGTTTAAATTGTTTTAACATTGGATGTTCTTTAGAATTGTCTTGGTTATCCTTGCATTTATTTTTCCATATGAACTTTGAAATCAGCTTGTCTATTTATAGTATATATTATTTCTTGGATGCATATAAACACATATATGCATTTTTGTGGCATTTTTGTTAAAATTGCATTACATTTATGGATTGATTTAGGGAGAATTAGCTTACATATAATATTGAATCTTCTTATCCAAGAACAAGACACATCTTTCCATTCATTCAAATTTTATTTTATGCCCCTCAGAGGTATTTTAAAATTCTCATTATATAGATTTTGTACTTATTTTTAGATTTTGTACATTTTTAATGAAGCTTATTCTCTTTAGTTGCTATTATAAGTGTGATTTTTTCCCCTTTATATTTCCTTCCTTTCTATGTTGCAAGGCAATTGATTTTTATATATTAGTTTTGCATTCACCTAGTTGACTGAATTATCTTTTTTGTAATAGATTTTCAAATGATTTTTTTTAAGTCTTTTTTTTTTAAAGCATAAAATATCATCTGCTAATACTGACAGTTTTACCTCCTGCTTTCCAGATTTGTACGTATTTCTTTCTCTTGTCTGATTGCATGGGCCAGAACCTCTAGAACAGTGTTCCATGATAATGAGGGTAATGGGCATTCTTGTCCCTTTCTTTAGTGAGACTGCCTCTGATATTTTACAAGAGGCCACCCTTAAATTCTTTTTGTCTGGACTCCTGTGACCTTCAAGGCTCATGGCATTTTTTCCTTCTGTGTCAACAGCGTAGTGACGGCCCCTATGCTCTGGTACTTGTGCCAACGAGAGAGGTAAGCAGTTTCATGTTCGGGGTGAGTCTTGAGCAAGCGTTTTCAGTGATAGCCTGTTGAATTTATAAGTAGTTTTACCGTTTTTCTCTCTATTGCACAAACCACTGTACTGTTTGTTTTGCCCAGGAACCATCCTTCTGGTTTCTGACAAAAATTCAAGTACTCTTTGAAAATCGTTTAAGTATGGAAAAGCATTTCCCTGTTATTTGAAAAGAAATTTAGTCATGCTTTTGTACTTTTTCTTCCCCCAACTTAATTCAAAAATAAAAGCAATTGGCCCTAAAAATGAACTTTTCTTTTTTTTTTTTAAGAAGCTACTAGGCCAAAAATTTTACATGTTATTGAAAGTGAAGCTTCTTGGTATTTTTATCCTTTCTTGGTGGAAATTTCTTATCTGATCTATTTAATTTGTCTATGGAGGCAATTTCAGATTTAGGCATCTGTTTGCTGTATCAAATGCTAATCAGTTCCTTGTAGAGAATTGATCTTAGAGATGGAGGGTCCAGCTCAGCCTTTTTTTGGTACAGCCTGCAGTGCCCTCTCTCAGCTCAATCCAGTGAAGGAGCAGGCACAACGCTATTTAAATCTTTATAGCAGCAAACGTGCTACTTCCCTAGGATGCTTTGTGAATACTAAACCTGTGGAAACTGTATGTGTATCCTTGGATAAAGGGATTATGTAGAGGCCTTTTGATGGTTGTTAATGGCTATAACCTACATTAATTTTCACTTTCTTTGATTTCCACCGGGGTTGTTGTTTGTTTGCTTTTTCCTTTAATAAACTTGGGGAATGGCCACCACTCAGTCTTCAGCTCCACTCCCCTCTGGCGTGTTCTTAGGGTACAGTCACATCGCTTCTCAAGTTCCTAAGGGCCAGCCTGATGCATCACTGTCCTCGTTTACTCCTTCATACATGTTATGTTCTTTCTCTTTCGCAAGAGCTCCAAATTCAGGTCGCCTGTCTTTCATTTTCCTCCATCTTTGTGCATCGTAGACTTGGACTGCTCCGTGTGGCACTCTGGGAATTTGAGCCAGCAGAGGGAGCACAAAACACTATTTTTGTACACGTCCAAGAAATAGATGTGATGTTTGCACCCACATTTTGCAAACTGGCAGGTTTCAGAATCAGTCTAAGAACATGGGATACTTTTCCAGTCGATTCTGTGATAGGATTTTTTGTTTCCTACATTTTACCTTGAGGTCCAAGTTTGGATCTTAATCACTTTACATTGTCAAGATTAAAAAAAAAGAAAGAAAAGAAGGGCTCTTGTTCATTATCTATAATGTTTTCATATTTACAGCTGGCTCTACAAAGCTTTGATACTGTCCAGAAACTGCTGAAGGTAAGGCAAGCCGTGCGCTCAGTTTCATCTTTTCTCCTGACCTTTTGAGGAAGGAGAAATATGCCACAGTCATTCCCTTATTTTCAAAGAGCTAGGAATTATTCTCATTTCTCTCTTTTCCCGGGATGTCTCTGCTCTCCCTGGGTAGTCTAGATTTTTACTAATCGAAACCTTACTAGCTGCCTAATTCTAGCTTAACAAGATTACTCGTGTTTCCTGGTGCTTGAAGCTTTATAATCTATTCATTATAGTCACTAGCAAGCCACACACAGACATTGACAAGTACAGCAACCTTAAGAAGGTCGACTGGAAAGCAACTCAAAATGCTGCAAGCAGGCTCTGTTTAAGAAAAGAGGGAGAGAAGGCTTTAGAGCCAGAGCCGGCCAACCCCCCACATTCGGTGAAGAATTCATCTAGCCTTCCTTTCATCAGGGGTGAGAGTGGAGAGGGTTGTGCTTGGGTTTTATTTTAACCAAAAAGAACAAAAGAAAGGCAGTAGCTGTCCTGAAATGTGTGTTTAATTAAGGCTCCAAAAAGAAAGGCAGAGAAGCTACTTGAGTCGTTTACGAAGCTCCCCTTTCCCTCTCACTGTGTTGGAAGCTGTTATTCAGTGATAGTTGAAGTCACCGCTGAGAGTGGCCATGGGTGTGGCAGTGCCCAGGAATCCTCACACAGGAAGAAGTGGAGTCCTCCCTCCCAACTTAGAACCAGTCTCTGTGTTTGCACTAAAGGGGCTTTGCATTGATTTTTGCTCTGATATCTTTCTGTAGCCATTTACCTGGATTGTGCCTGGAGTGTTAATGGGAGGAGAGAAGAGAAAATCAGAAAAAGCCAGGTAGGGGGAGGTGTATTTGTGGTTAATTGCTTTTTGAATCTGTCTGTCCTGCCTTCCTATCCAGTAGGACTCAGTCCTGCTAAACCTAGAGAAAGCCTGTCTTGGACTGTACTTCCTAGTCCTCCAGGGACAGATTGCGTCAGCGGGGAGCGGTCCCCTCTAGACAGTGCTGTTGTTAAAAATATTGATGAACCTACAAGGGGTTTCCTTTCTGATGTGGTCATTACCTTCTGAACTCCGTCCCCCCAATACCCACAATCCCCCTTGTTTAGTATCAGTCCTCCTTGGCTCCCTTTTGGGTACACTGGGGTTTGGGATTTTGTTGTTTTTTGTTTTTTTTTAAAAAGCAAGGTCATAAGGTAACATAATGCTTTGCACCTTTTTACACCCTAAAACATGGATTCCTAATTCTATATTAGAACTGGTAATGGGTGTCAGTGGAAAATTATTGCAGCGAGTAAATCCCAAATTGTCTGCATTCTTATAAAACCATTTTTATTGTAGCTTAATGCGCAGTAGTAACACCCAACTGTATGTGTAGTCTTTGACTAAGAAGTAAATATTAAACCTGAAAGCAAAAAGTATTGGTTAGGATGAGCTGCAGCTGTAAATGACAACGGCAGCAAACAGCAGTGGTGCAAACAATATGGAAGTTTTATTTTTCTTTCTCATTTAAGAAGCCTGATGGCAGCCCATCCAGAACTGGCATCGTGCTCTCGTGTCAGGACCCAGGCTCCTTCTGTCTTTTTGTGCCACTCAGTGAGGCTTTCATTTTCAGTGTTACCTCATAGTGTTAGAAAGTGCAGATCCAGCCATTACATCTAGTTTCCTGCAACAGGAACAAAGATAATCATACCTCCTCCTTCTAAAGGTACTTGTGGGATTTGCATATTCTCATTATCCTATCACTAGGACATAGGCCGGCCGTCACCATACTTAACTGCAAGGGAGGCTGGAAAATATACTCAGCTGAAAATTGGAGGCTTTTATTACTTGGAGTAATGGGATAAAGGCTGTTTGGGGAGTAAGAAATTAGATTTATTCTACCTAGTCTGTGGGGCAAAGCTAGGCCCGTTAGATGGAAGTTACAGCAAGGATTCAGTATAAGAAAAAACGTTCTGGGATAATTCATTTAGATAAGCGTTTTCTTCCCTGGCATAGAAGCCTTCAAGAACAGGTTCGATGACCATGTATCTAGAATGTTCTAGAAAGGATCTATGGATCAGGTAAAAGGTATCATATTATAAAGATTCCTTTCAAAGTTAAGGTTTTATGATTTTAATATGATTTCAGATCTTAACAATTCTATAGGAGAGGGAAACTTCCGAGAAAAATTAAAACTCAAATATATCTTTGTATCTAGTTGTCGTCGTGTCATAATTTCAGGCTGTGGGACGTTGGTGCCAGACGTGACTCTGTCTCCTTTGGCATTTTGCTGTGTCTTCTATCGTTACAAACCAGTTTGATTTACTTTCTTTCATGGTATATGATTTTAAACAGACTTCGCAAAGGAATAAATATCCTTATCTCAACTCCTGGACGTCTGGTGGATCATATAAAATCCACAAAGAACATTCACTTCGGTCGGATACAGTGGCTGATTCTGGACGAAGCCGACAGGTGAGCCTCACCCCAAAGCAGAAAGGCAGAGGACGGGGCTGTCGCTGCCGTCTGCATGCACCTCGGTAGCCCCTGAGTGTCACATCCCTTCTTCGTGTAGATTAAAACTCCTCCTCTTGAAACCGCAGAATCTTGGATTTGGGGTTTGAAAAGGATGTCACAGTGATACTCAACGCAGTCAATGCCGAGTGCCAGAGACGACAGAATGTCTTGCTGTCGGCAACTCTCACGGAAGGTGAGTTCAAAAGGTGCCCGTTGTCCTGAATGCAGAGGGAGGACCCAGCTGTCACGTGCCCTGTGTGGCTGACTGTGGTTCTCAGCCTTGGGGACTGCTGTGGTCCCCGGGGTGTGGGAGAGGTAGGTCCAGAGCCACAGTTCCTGCGGGAACGACAGTGCTACTGGTGTTCACTCGGGGTGGAGAGGAAGAGGGGTTGGCTGCCACCCACCTAGTGGCTTCGTGTGGCTCTTCATTGCCACGGGGACCCGTGAGCAGGGCTCTGGTCTTGACGGTGATGACCTCTTCCCCAAGTGCATTTTTTAGTGTAAACACCCTACCTTTCCCCTAAAGAGATAGTGAGCCTAAGACATATGTATTCTTTAAGCTCATTTCTGTTTTCCATCCTTGTGAGATGGAAATTCTTAGCTCTCTTTCTAGGTGGGAATACCAGGGCTTGGAAAAGTTGCATCTCTCTCCACCAGAATCACCCACACAGTGGGTCATTGTCTGTACAACCGTGTAGCTTTCATGTTCTTAAGTCTGGTGTACTTGTCCTGGTGCGCACATACCAGATGCCATTCGTGTGACTGATCAACAAGTCTGAGTGTATGCTAAATAACATCAATGCTAAGGGAAAAGGAATTCTGTGCTCAGAAAGTTTGGGAAATGCCACACGTTACCTATTCTTAGAGATTCAGGGTGCACCTTCACACAATAAAGGTCCTGAGAAGGCCTGTAAAACCCTAGGAAAGAATCCCATGAAACCTTTTTCTCCCGGTTTTTGTAACTACTGGACCGTAGAGCCTTTTCTGGGGTGGGCAGGCGTCTGTTAATGTCCCTTTCAGTGGCCTTCCGCAGGTTCAGGTTTAGAAACGCCGGTGTGGATGGGTTGGTGGGCCATGCGAAGAAACCGGTGGGGCTGCCCCACCAGATTGGCAGTCAGGCAGATCAGCGCTGGGACTTGGTGGTACCCACTGGAGGTTTCTTAATACACCTCAGTGTGGGGTGGGTGTGGGCGTGCGTAGATGACCAGTTCTGCAACGTGTGCATGTCATCTGTTTTGCCTTTTCCACTTTTTATCCAAGGGGTAGCACGGCTTGCCGATATCAGTTTACACAACCCAGTCAGTATTTCTGTCGTGGATGAAAGCCATGGTCAGTCTAACCCAAAGGGCAAAGCAGTTCTTGAAGTCTCCGCTCCACAAGCTGGCGACGAGCTGGACAGCTTTGCAATTCCCGAGGGTCTCGACCAGCACGTGACACTGGTTCCCAGCAAACTGAGGCTGGTCTCCCTGGCAGCCTTCATCCTGCAGAAGTGTAAGGTAGGAAGGACTGGGGACTGGACCCGGCTCCGCCAAGGAGAGAAGGACCTGTTGTGTTTGTGGCAGGTGTTGGTAACAGTGAGTGGAGGCGCGTGCCCACACAAGTTTTCCAGTCTCACTGTGTTTATGAATGCAGACCTTAGGGGCAGCACTGTGTGTGGCGAGCCCTGAATGAATGAAGGAACAGAGCTAATGTAGAGTGTGTTTCTTAGGTGTGGGAGCCCTTTCGAGGGGATAGCTCTGCCATTTTCCTTTCCTGCATTCTTTGTAGCATGGAGTATTGGGGTTTTGTGTGTTGTTGGTTTTTTTTTTTAATTCCAAGCTGTCTGTCCCTTATGTTTCCAAACTAGGGCCAGCATGACTGTATTTTAGAGAAATACTCATTGTATTGTCACCTAATCTTAAAATCGTGTGGTTGTTTTCCCCCTTTGTATCCATGTAGTTTGAAACAGACCAGAAGATGATTGTCTTTTTCTCGACTTGCGAGCTGGTGGAGTTCCACTACAAGCTTTTCCTCCAGACCCTGCTGAGCAGCCCGGGGGCCCCGGCAGCAGGGCAGTTACCATCTGGCTCCACGCGATTAAAATTCCTACGGCTGCACGGTAACATGGAGCAGGAGGTGAGCGCCTCCCGCTCCCTGGGCGTGGAAACGGGACAAGCCCGAGCCCCTTTGAACTTGAACTTGTCCTCCAGGGTCACAGTGCGTCCCTCACAGACTCCGCTGGGCTAAGGGAAGGGTGAGCCAGGAGCAGGCAACCCGGTGGAACTGGAAGCGGGTGACTGCCGCTGTGCCTACGTGGGCAGAGGGAGCCTATTGTTCCCGCCCGCTCTCGCGCCCACTCTCGCTCCCGGAGCTGGTCCCTTCCACCTGAGAGCGCGCACAGCCCGCTTGGCCTGCGTCTACCTCAACCAGCTGTTAAGGCAACAGAGTACCACTAAGTAGCTGGCACCGGGGAAGGGTTTTGCCTTTTTAGTACCCAGTGTGTAATTAGGGCTTGATGTCTTCAAATTAAGAGCATTAATGGAGCTAAATTGTGGATCCCATATGGTACTGCTGAGCGTGACTGCTGTCATTGTCAACAAGATGCAGCGCTTCCTCTCCTAACACTTGGTTGCGAGAGGGCTTCGGGGTCTTGGTCCTGCCTCAGCTCTGAGGACTGTTTTTGTTCAGGAAGAAGAGTATAACATTGCCCTTATTTTAAGACTTAGCTGCATAGTGCTGATTCCACTACTTGTCAGTAGAGCATCCATTCAGGGAGCCAGGGCAGAGTGTTGAGTGAGCTGAGCTCACTGGAGTTGTGAAGGAGGGACAAACAGGGCTTGGAGATCGGAGCCATCTTGCCCTGGAGGAGCAGTTACCAGGCAGCTTAGAAAATTAAGAAAAGTGAAAGAAAGCCAGAAAGCGGAGTAAGATTTGACGAGAGGCAGCTTAAAAAAATCATAACATTTTTCAAACTAAAAGGGGCATTAAAGGTCATCAAGTCCAGCCCCCTTTTTGTTGTTGCTTTTTTGTTTTAAAAATTCAGAAAGTGGAGCCTCAGAAAAGGGAATTTGCTGAAGGTCACTCAAAGACACAACTTCTTATCTGCCACAGGTTATATAGAATTTCCTGAATATTCCAGCTTTCGTGAATTTTATAAACTCTTGGCTTTTACCATATTTTGCCATGTATAATGTGCACTTTTTTCATCTAAATTTGTGAGGGAAAAATAAGGATGCACATTTTACATGGGTAGTACTAATTCTGTATCGATATAAATGTTTTTAATTTTTACTTATGCCTATGAGTTAAAAGTGTAACTCCAGAAATCAATAACAATATCCATATGCAAAATAATACCCTGGAATATGATAATCGGTTTTGTTGACCTTTCGACAAACTTGCAACAACGAAGAGTTCTTGGCCTTCTAAGATGCGTAAATATCGTAAATTTGTTAACCGGTACATGAAATTTCTTGTACCTTCTATCTGTTGTTGTGTTTTGTAATTATTTGTTACATAAAATTTCTTGTACCATAATATGTTAAAAATAAATGCTAAAATTCCTTTATAATACAAAAAACAAGTACCTAAGTGTAAACAAATAAAAATTAAAACAAAAGATTTTTTCCCTGAAAGTTTGAGCCAAAGACGTGGGAGCACATAATACATGGCAAAATACGGCACCTTCAGACCCAATTCAATCAAATTTGTTGATTTCATGATGTAATGCCATTTGTGGGTTTGTTTGTTGTTTTGTTGGGTTTTTTTTTAACTTAGCTTACTAATTCTCTAGGTCTGTTTTCAGGCATTCTGCAGGCTAGTCGTGAGGGTGATGGAGGAGCTGGATATGGACTTAGAAGGACCTGGGAAACCCAATAGGCCATACAGAAGATTCTGTAGTTAAATCATTTCAAACCTGCCTTATAACAGGATGGTAGTCTAGCAAGGTGTCCATAGCTGGGGGCAGACTGCCTGTGTTCTGGTCCTGGCTCTGCCATGTACTGGCTGTGTGACCTCAAGAAAGCTTTTACCTCTCCATGCCTCAGGTTCCATGTCTCTAAAACGGAGCTTGTTATAGTGCTTATTTCCTGGGGTGGCTGTGACGATTCATTGAGTTAATGCAGATAAAATACTTAGTGCAGGGCCTGGCACGTAGTAAGTGCCCAGTAAACGTTAGGTGCCACTGTTACTGCTATTCCTCTTTTGAGAATAGTTCAGGTTTTTTTTTTAGTTTAATAATTGTTAATATTTTACTTATATTTTGTTTATTAAGTAGTTTTCACAGCTCCCCCTTCCCCCCACCGCCAAGAAATGGGTAGAAGGTGGGAGGGAGTAGCTCTACTTCATTTTGTAAATGCTGAGGTTAAGTGTCTTGCCCCAGACTAAGCTAAAATTGCCCCAATCACATATTCCTGGCTTGTTATGCTGGCCACTGTTCCACATGACCTGTGGTCCCCCTAAATGGTTGACATGACCCCAACCAAGTTCATGGGCGTTAGGGAGAAGTGGCTATTTGAGAAAGTCGCTGCATGGTAGCTGTGATGAAAGTTTTTCCTCACCCCAAATCTGAATCCATCATGGCAAGTCTTGAAGGTGTTTCACAGGCTTTCATGAACTTTTCTGATTTTTGACTCTGTAATGCAACCATTAAAAATGTCCCTGTAAGACCAGGCAGCAAACTGGACAGACGCAGCCATCCCTGTGAGGATTGGAGCACCGACTTCGGCACATAGCTCCTGGGGTTCAGATAGCAGTCCCGCCCTTTCCTGTGTGTGCACATCCCTTGGGCAAGTCACTCAACCTCTCTGTGCCTGAGTTTCTTCACCTGGAAACGGGGGTGGTGATAGTACCCGCTCGTAGGGTTGTTACGATGACTTGGTAAGTTCAGACATGTAAAGCGTCAGCTGCTGTCTGGTACATGGCAGCGCTCTGTACTTGTTGGTTGTCATTGTCCACTGTATTAAGGGAGGCAGGTGTACCCTGGGGTTCCAGTTCTGTGACAGTGACATGGTGGCTGTGCCTCAGCGGAAGGAGGGACTTTTTCTTCTTTCCCAAGTTGTAGTAATTGGGTTGTATTTCCTTTTTTGCTGTTGTTGCTGACAGATGGATGAGGCCAAGTCTCAGGCGCTTGAGACATTATGACTTAAACACACTCCGGCGTGCCCTGTGCAAGGTCACCCTGAAAGCCTTTGAAGTGGGCCTGCCTTTTGGTCCAGCAAGTCTGCCTTTAGGGATTTACCCGAAGGGAACATTAGGCATGTCCACCGTGGCTTATCTGCAGAGGCGCTCATCACAGCATTGCTTGTGCAGTGAACACCTGAAGCCAGCCTCAACTGCCAGTGTGGGGCACTGGTCGGGAAGTGCTAGCACCCCCATTCGGCTGGGTACTGTACAATCACAAGAGACGTGTGGTTTTTGGATATTTATCGTCATAAAAGGATGTTTGTGTTCTATTAATGCATGATAAGCACATTAATAGTACAAATAGCATGGTACCATTTGTAAAAAGCCCAATACGTGGTTATGTTTTGCACAGAAAGGGGCCTGGGAAACATCCAGGGGTTACCATTGGTGTTTTGCTTTGAGTGGTGGGATGATGGCATTTTCTTCCTTTGACTTAAGTATAATTTTTCTACAATTAAAATACATGGGCTTTATAATTTTTAACCTTTTTAAAAAAGAGTTTTCTGTAGGAAATGTTGGTTGTTCTTTGTTCCTGTAGCCCACTTGTACTGTAGGAAAGTGTGTTTAGAATACATTCAGTCTCTTGGGGGCTTTGACCTTGCCAGCTCTTGGGGTTGCCCAGCTCTAAGGCCGTGCTCAGCCTGGCATTGTCTTGCTGTCACGTGCTGCCCTTAGGCCCTGCTGCTTTGCAGCACTCTGCGGAGCCCAGCCCTGTAAGTCCAGGTTCTAGTAGATGTGAAGAGCCTACTTCTTCCTCTCGGCAAAGCCCGTCTGTGCCTTCATAGACTTATGGGAAAGTTATGGGGAGCTCGGCACCCCTCACTGGAATTGATCTCAGAATTGTAAGGCTTTCCCCTTATTTTTGTAGGAAAGAACAGCGGTGTTTCAAGAATTCTCCCATTCCAAAACGGGCGTCCTTCTGTGCACGGTACGTATCATTCTGTCGTCCTTGCGAAGCTCGAACGTTTCTGTCATGGGTGGTCGCAGTGTTTTGTCTCTTGACAGTTTGCCTGGTGGCCAGCCCCACAGAGTGGGAATACCAGGGCCTCTTGGTGTGGCTGGTCCCTTTGCTCTTCTGATTTGTCACCCGACTTTGTCACAGATAGCTGGCTGCCACCATGCAGAAGACTTAGCGATTTGCTCACTAATAGTGACAGCTGTTGGTCTGAAAATGTGTGAATCTTGGTGATTTCTCTCCACCAAAAACTTGTAAATTACAGCTATCGGGAGTAATTAGAGCTGAGAAAGTCTTTCCACAACAAAATCACTCTACTCGCCTCCGCTCACCTTTTCTTAAAGGAACACAGATGCGCTCAGGCAGATTTCATCTGCTGTTGTCTAAAACCGTCATTTGCCCTGCAGTTTTCAGGGCCAGCAGCACAGCGCTGACCTTTGACTGCACGTGTCCCGTGCTCTTTCGAGATGGAAAACTCACACCTTCAATGGCCCTTTCTCTGGGGACTCACTCACTTCACCATGGTTGTCACTCACTTTCAAGATTAAAATACCTTCCCTGTTTGTGCCATCTTGGATGGTGTAACTTAATCCGCAACAAGTGCTTTGTGAAATCCCTGGATAGACAGTCATGGAATTGCACTGTAAATTGGGCAGCCCAGGGAACAACTGGGTAGAAGCAGACGCAGCAGTTTGAGTACCCGGCGAGGCCTCATTTCATGCAGTTACTCTTTGAGGAACTCCTGCTCTGATTCAGGTTAACGGTCCTGGAGATGGTTTCTTCCTGCAGTTAGAGGACGTGGGTGAGTGCTGCTGTGCTTCTTGTGTCTGGTCATATCCTAGCCGGCCCGCCCGGTCACCTGCTTGTCGTGCCGATTGTCACGTGTGTGGCCAACAGTGGCTCTGCCGCCTCTGGTCGTTCAGCGCTGAGAACAGTGACGCTGGACTGCTCGCCTCCTGAGGACATCTCATCTGACCGAGTAGCCCTTCCCTTCCGAAGCCCGTTCACAAGTCAGGCTGGTGTTTGCTCTAAGACCACCTTTAAATGCTTGCTCTAAAGTGAAGACGAGCCCAAATAATCGACTTGATTCAGAAGCTTGTCAAGAATCCTTATGTCCAATAGCACTTTCTGGGACCTGCCCCCTTCCTGTCTCCTCTGTTCCCCTGTCCTGACTTGCCCCCTTACTCCTTATCCTTCGACCAAGCAGGCCCCTCTTTCAGCTCCTCGAATGCGTCGTTCTTGCTGTTTCGGGCCTGAAGGCCTTGGCACGTGTATTCCCTCTGCCTGGGACCCCTCACCCTGACCTGACTCACCCCTACTGAGGTCTCAGCTTCAAGTTCATTTTTTCAGGAAATGGAACCCCAGAGCCCCGGGTCTTCCCTGTGGGCCACTCCCAGTGCACCCTATATTCTTTCTGACACTCATCACACCTGACCCATGTGTGTTCCCACCAGATCACAGGCTCATGAAGATGGGACTGTGTTTTATTTGTGGTTCCATCCTAGAGTCCGGCGTAGCAAGCGCGCAGGAGGAGCACGTGGTTTGTGGACCGAACGTGGACAGTCAGGGCCTGAGAAACTCTGGTGAGGAGTTTTCTCTAAAGACTGAGTGAGGTTGCTTGTTGGAAATAAATTCACATTTTCATATATATGGTATTATCTGAAGAGTGAATGTTGTAGGTGGTGTATATTAAAACAGACAGCAGTAGGAACCTGTGCGTTGAAGTTTGGATTAGGATCAGAACAAAATGTTTTATCTTTGACCCTTAAAATGCTGGATTTGTCCCTGGTGGGAAGTTATCAAGTCCCTTAGTATATGTACAAATGCTGCGATCTTTTACAGACATGGGTGGGCTCTAAGAGTCAAAGAAACTCCAGGCACTGACGTTCAGTTGCTTTGGTTTTTAGAGGTTCTTGCTGAGAGACAAGGTCATTCTTTCTGAAATGTGATTTTCAGTGGGGTCAGAACATATGATGACCTTCCTCGTTCTGTCTGGCTGACACCGGCCGGCAAGTGGTGTCAGCTAGACAAAGGGCACACCGCACCTCCCGTGCCCTGCCAGTCCCGGGTGCCTCTGGAAGGCAAGCTCCCACTTGCCCACGATCTGATTTCTCTACACTCTCTTGGCGCTTGTTCAGGGCACTTCCAGTACCCCGGTCCCCTCCCAGTGTCACTTCGTCCTTACTCTGCAGTAAAGGTTACTGGGAAGAGCTGGGTGGGGGCTGATTTCCCTTTATTTCCAAGCCAGGATGTGAGCCCAGATTCCCTGTGAGGAGAAGGTCTGCATTCTCTCTCTCATGTTTCTTCTACTGCTGCCATATTTGTCTACTTTAGCCCGACGCTCTGGCACCTGAGGTCTGTGGGGCGCCTGAGACACGCTGTAATAGATCGTGCCTGCGTTGGGGGAGATGCTGTCACCCGGCGTCCTTTGAAGCAGCCTGTTGCTTGCCAGGTTCTGTGAGTGCTCTCCAGGAGCCTCCTTAGTGTTAATGAGGAATGTGGGCCACGGCAGGCCACGGTGGTGGAGAGCTGGCTTCTGATAAGGAGCACTCACATCAGTGACTGTTGCGTGGGGATGTTTTCCCCCTTTGTACCATGCCTTTTGCCATTTCGATTTATTATCCCCAGATCCTTTTAACAAGGCCAGAAGACTGAATGTCTGTATGAAAATTTGGGAGTTAGGGTGTAAGCACACAAAAGCTCACAAGTACGCTATTTCCTTTACTGCTAGAAAATCCCTCCCTGCACCCCGTTTTCCTCCCTGCTAGCTCCTCTGTTATTGGAACAGTTAAGGGGGTGCGTGAGCTTGAGCGTATGTGTTTCTTTCATCTTAATTAAGAACATCTAAAAGCAAGGACCTTTTTCATTTCATGCACCGAAATCTGTCAGGACCTGATACATGGCACTTTATACTGTGGGTCTTAACAAACATGTGACCTTGGTGACATGGAGTCGAGGCCGAGGAGAAGGGCAGGAGAAACCAGTTTGCGAAAGAGGAGTCTTTCCACATTTGCAGTGTGATTTCGTGTTGTCCAGAAAATTAGATCTACGAAAAAGCCAAGTTAAGAAAGAAGTAGGGATTAGTGGGAAGGAGGCCTTTGAAAGTTCAAAGCCCACTTTCTCAAATGAAATTAAGAAATTAAAGAAATCAGATATAAGAAACTGAATTCTCCACAAAACATTCCCTCCTGCTTATGGTGAGGAACTACCCCTGAGCCAGAGGAAGGGAACGTGGTTTTTAATAGCGTCGTTATGTCGATGAGCTGATGAAAAGAAACACCCCTGAGTGACTGGAAACCGTATTTCCAAGCTGCCTCTAGTTTGAAGGCCAACGTCTGGCGTTTGTCGGTGCTTCTGGTGCTCCCTGGATGACCAGAGCCCGGGAACCTTTTCTCCAGCAAGAAGGGCCTCTCGCAGCTCCTCCGGCGTCTGCCGGCCGATTATCCAGTGGAATATATTGAGGCCTCCAGCACAGCGTTCTTACTCAGAGGGCACCCGCACCAGCTGTGCTGCTTTCCTCCACCTTCTCAGTTTTGTGTTTTGCTTCAAGTACACTGCTATGTCTGTGCGGTTCTTCATTTCCTCTCCTCCTGGGGAATTTCCATCGTGCCAGGAGGTTAGGAGACAAAGGAGTGCAGCTGTAAGTGTCACAAGAGTGTCAATTTATAACCCCAAATAAATGTGGACTCTTGCTTTTCTCTGGGGCATGTTTTTTAGGTAAAGTTTATCCTTTCCACTCTATTTCATCGTGTTAATGGCAAGATCATTTGGAGATTGTAGGCTGTTTACTCAGTTACGCTAACTCATGTTGCCAGTTTTTTGGCGGCTCCAGCCAAGATCTCTCGCCTCTGACAGCTTCTGCACTCTCCCCTTCCTCCTCTGATTACGCAGCCCAATCTGTCACCCGGACAACGGGGGCCTGTACCCCGCTGATGGCTTTCCACACACGGCAATAATGACTTTTGGCAGGCCAGGAAGGCAGCAGAGGCGGATTTGCTGCGTCCCTTGCTCAGAGAGCCGGCAGGCCCCCTCTCTGTTAGTAAAAGCACTTTGTGAGGTGCTTGGGCAAATAAATGAGTCATTTTAATCCAACTGACAGGCTGGCACCTGAGCAAGCTGCCTTCCATCTGTACTCCTTGGTCTCATGGAGGCAGCCAATTGTCGAGCCCAGGCCTTCAAGGCCGCACCATTGAGCGTCTTTCAGAACTGACTTTAGCAATTCTTTTGCCCTAATTAGGTTAAAGGAATACAGTGGGGCTGGATCTGAGTTCTAAGAGTGGGCAGAGAACCGAAGGTCTTGCTGAGTCTTCAGCAGGTCAGTTTCCTGTGGATCTGGGGCTGCGGCTGACAGCGTTGCAGGAAGGGAGCAGCCTCCTGCCTCTCTGCGGTCCTCTGCCCCGTGGGGTGAAGGGGGTGTGAGTGGGGAAGAGAGTGAAGAGGCCTCTACGCCACTGCCTGTTGCCTCCGTACCAATTCTTACTTCACCGTGAAGTGAAATACTTAGATTTATAATTCTCGAAATACCGTTAGCATGCACTGTCTCATTAGAGCTTCACAATAGCCTCATGAGATGAATAGGGTAGATCTTATAGCCGCCATTTTATAGGTGGGTAAACTGAGGCTCCGAGCTGCGTTAACTTGCCCAGATGGTATGGCTTCGAAAGTGATAATGAAGTCCAGTTCTCTCTGTTCCTAGACCAGGAAGATTATTTCTTTCTCCCATTCTCCGTGGTAGCCTAGACCCAGGAAAGGCTGGATTAAGCCTGAGCAGTGGTTGGCTGTCGGGGAGGTTCCCACACCCCAATACAAGAAGCGGGGGAGACCAAGAAGACGGTGTTGCAGCCGGGCATCCTGAGCTGGATCACCCGAGTGGGAAACAACCTTAAACAGTCGCAATGAGAGGCTGCTGGCATCCTTCCAACTTACTGTTCAGTGTGTTTGTACTCAGTGAGTTTCATGAACGTCATATGCTATTTTCGAGTTTTATCTGTGTTTCTTGGTTGAATTTACTAAACCGACGAGCATTAAATTTTTTACAAAGCCTGTCTGTAAAGCTCAGGCAGCCCCTTGTCTACAAGTATCTCCCACTGCAGAGCACTTAAATAAGATAAATCATCTCTTAACAAGAGCTTAGCAGATTTAAGAACCCATCAGTTGTCTGAAGACAGGAGCTGTGGTTAGTAGAGAGCCGTTCCTGCCCCCCTTTGGATGGAGAACACCCTGAGCAGGGTTCTCCAAGGCGCCCGCTCTGGAACGGCAGCCTCCAGCCTTCAGGGCGTGTGGGGGCTGTCTGCAAACACCGCGAGGGTGGCAGACACCCTTCGAGTGCATTACTCTTCTGCTTCACACTTAATAAATGCAGCCTATCTGCCATTCAAAGGGAAGCAGCCAGTCCCAGGTGTCATCAGAGTGAAGACTGACAGATGCCGCTCTGCCCTCAGTGGTCCTTCCGGGTGAGTTAGATGTGGGTGGGCGTGGTTTCCTCAGGCCCTGCCTCTGACCCTGTGGGGTACAAGGAGCGGTTGCTTTTAAAGTGCTTCTTGTGGAAACTTTGCATAGGATTATTATTTTTCAAAAAAGCTAACTATACGTAAAATCCTTAGTGGCTCTTAAAAGTGAGGAAGAGGGAGGAAGCCTGTTCTTTACAGAAGAACGCCCACTCTCAAGTGAAAGGAAGGAAGGATAGACCTAGGAGGCCATCATTTTGCAGCCACTGAGGTAACCGTTGAGACAGACCAGCAGGACCAACAGATGCCAGAACCGTTGGGCTAAAGGTTTGGGGAAACGGTCTCAAAGCGTCACTCCCCGGTACTTGTTAATTACAAAGACGAAAGGCACCTTCACAGTGGAGAGAGCTGGCGGGCACCCCTGACTGAGGGCTGGGCATGGCGTCCCCGGCCCAGGGCAGACTGCTCTAGCAGGTCTCCCGGGCCACGCACTGGGAAGTACACCCCACCCTGACAGTGTGTTCTGCCAAAGTGCTTCCCCCAGATCTTACCATGAGAAAACAATTAGACAAGTCCAGATTCTGGGATGTGGCTCAAGACACCTGGAGTCTTCAAAATTGATAGTTAAAAAAAGAAAACTAAATAAGTGAATAAAGGGCAGGGATACCATTCCAATTAGTGAAGTCTAGAAGGGTATAATAAAAATACGAGTGCATGATCTGTGATTCAGTCCTGGATTGGGAAGGAAAAATAGCTCTCAGTCGTCTTCAGTACAGTTGGAGAAATTTGAATATGGACTGGATATGAGAAAGTAATGTTAGTCGGCATTAAATTTCTTAGATGTGATACCGGTGTTGTGGTTATGTAGAAGAATGTCCTTTTACTTAGGAGATACGTGCTCACGTGTCACGCTATTTGCAATGTACCTTCAGATGGTTCAGAAACACAGATGTCTGTATGGAGAGCAGAAGAGAAGGCGGGAGTGCCAAAGCTTAGCAATTGATGAATCGGGATGAAGATAGACAGGTGCTGATTGTATTATGCTTCCAACTTTTCTGTAGGTTTAAAGTTTTCTAAATAAAAAATTGGAGAGGGGAGGGATATGTATTCATTGTTAAAAAATAAAAAAATGAGAAAAGCAAACGACACAGAAAAATGCTAAGAGAAACGTAAACATCTCCCCCAGTCTCTTTGCCTAGAGATAACCACAGTTGACAGTGTGGGTGAAACTCCATCCAGGCATTGGTTCTTAGTTTATCTATTGCGTCATCTATCGATTTTTCCATTGTTTAATGTGTTTTTTTGTTTGTCTGTTTCACTGTGGGGTTTTTGCGCTCCTTTTTTTTCCTTGTTTTTTTGGTAGAAGAAACCGGACCATTTGCCCTTTAGAATGCCCCACATTCTGGACTTGCCTAGTTGTGTCCTCGAGGTGGTGTTTGACTTGTTCCTGTCCCCTGTATTTCCTCTAGACTGGCATTTAGGTCTAGAGCCTTGACTCGATTCAGGCTCTAGGGTTTTGTTTTCATTTTGGCAGTAATAGGTGATGCTCTGTACTTCCTGTTGCATGGCCGCTGATCGTCTCACTTTTTATTTGTCAAAACATTTACATGGTCTCAGAGTCAAAACGATAAAGGTCCACAAAGGAAGTCTAGCTTCCGTTCTTCACCTCCATTCTTCACCCCCCACCATGTACTCTTGCTTCTCTAGGTAACTATTTTCATAAACTTTGGGGGGTGGGGTGGGGTACTCCATTATTTCTTTTTGAAATATGAGCAAATATATTTTATTCCCCCCTTTTCTTATACAAAAGTATAAGCTATATACACTCGAAATATATCCTAGAGTTTCTCCATATCAGTACATAGGATTCTTCACTCCTTTTGTGGCTGTATAATACTCTGTTATATGGAGTGAGTATTGCCATATTTTATTCAACCTGCATCCTGCTAGACATTGGGGTTTTTACTGTACCTGCAGTTATAATAGTGGTGAAATGAATAGCCCTGTACATTTACCATTTTGTGTTTTTGCCAGTGTGTCTTTGGGATGGATTTCTAGAAGTGAGATTGCTCTGGGTCAGAGGACAAAGTGTATATGTAATTTTGCTGGATATTAATCAAATTCTCCGCTAGAAGGGTTCATACTATTTTGCATTCCCAGCACAGGGCAGGAAAGGTTTAGCATCTTTTCTGATGTTGGAACAGTATAGTATGGCCTTGGAATAATAGTAGTTTTGAAGATAAGTCAAGATACTGCAAGTAACAGGCTCCACAGTGTCCGGTGTGTATAGTGAGTGCCAAGTCAACGATGACCGGGGCGGCCCTTGTTAGGACTGTCAGCTAGAAGATGAATGCCAGGTGGAAATTCATCTCTAAAGACCGGAAGAGTCCCACTTTCTAGCGCCACTGCCAGAATGGCCAGAAACCTGAGAGCAGCGAGTTTTTGTTGTTCAGGTGGCGACCGGCTAAAAAATAAAAACAAATCTCATATCTTTATAGTTTTCATCTGTCTGGGTACGTCTTTGGCCTGCATTCTAACCTGGCTGTGAGAAGAGGCAGAGCACTACCCAGTCCTTATGCTCTCTGGGGCTAATAAGCAAAGTCCTCAGTAAACACTTTGCAACTTTCCTCCACAAGGGGATACCGTGGGGTGACTGTCGGGAAGCACACCTCAAAGCCGGGTCATTGTTAGTATAGCATTGCTGATAGGTATGGATGGAGATCATAACCCATGAATGCATTCGTCATGGAGTGGTTTCTCAGATCAAATGTAAAAGTCATAAAACATGCTAGAAGTTTTCAGAATTTTTACAAGGTGCAACTGACAATGACTTGTTCAAGTTCTGGGCTGACCTGCAGGTGGTGGTCTTTCGGTGAAGGGGTTGGGACTGCCCCCCCGATGGGTTCTGTGGAACTTACCCCTACGTCGGAATTTTTAACCACAGGTGGCTTCTGAGCTTGTATGCAGACGTCTGTGTATGGGTGCGTACATGCGGATGGGAGTGAGCCCCCACGGTTTGCACTAGATTACCAACGGATCCATGACCCCACAATGGTTGAGAAACTCAGTCCTAAGCCATATTCTTTTCTGTTTTGAAGGATGTTGCAGCTCGGGGCTTAGATCTCCCTCAAGTCACATGGATTGTTCAGGTAATTTTTTTAGTTGTTAAGCTGTGAGCTCGAGGCAGGAATTATATGATCACGAGTAGATGCGTTCACTTTAAGTAGAATGATTATTGTTACCCTCTTGGGTGTTGCCCTGGTAACCAGGCAGCAACCAGCCTTATCTGCACAATTCTCCCAGCATCTTTCCGTAACCCAGCCCACCTAACTGCTGCAGCAAACAGCCAGACTGCAGTCACAGAGGCAGGGGCGGGCTCCCTGCTCCCAGACGAAAGCCTGTCACACACAGTCCCAGCAGTCACGGGAACCGCCCAGGCCCCTGGGGGGCCTCATTGTGTCCAGGAGAAGGTGGCTCAGCTGTCCTGAGAGCTGTGTCCTGTACATTGACCTGCAGGGGGCAATTAGGTCCCTGACAGCAGCTTACCTAGACCTCTAGCCTTAGACGCTTTGCCAGAGGGTACAGGTGTTAGCCTGAGAGTCTGTGGTTTTAGTTTTGTTTTTTCTTGTCGTTAGTCTGCAGAGTGGTAGTTTTCAGCCCTCCTGTGTGGGGGTCGGGGACATGTGCCCGGTTTACGTGAGTCATGGTTTATTCACACGTTAGTGGCATCGCATGCCTGTCACTGGTTAGGAAGTCTGCCCTGCTCACCGCAGATTGCTTTGCTACTGGAGGCTTCGCTGCTTCTCCCCTGCTGGCCGCACAGCACACGGAAGATGAGACGGCAAGGATAACCTTAATGTGCGGACGGCTCGGCACAGAAACTCGGTCATTTAGAGCCTCCTGATACTGTGACTGTTGACTAGTTTAATATGCCTGGCCTCCCATGTATTCAGCTGGGCCCTCTGACCTGCGGTTCGTGTAGCAGCAGAGGGAAGAAAAGGAAGGATGACTAGATGGTCAGTCAGTTTTGATGCAGAGTTACTGCCATAGAGAACAGCAAACGCTGTGCATAATTTATTCTGCTGAGTTCTAAAGTCTACCCTTTTCCCTGAGTTGGGAACGCTGTTCACAGAGCAGAAGCTGTCCCTGTGGGAAGGGAACCGCCCTGCGACTCCGCTCCCCTGGGACCAGCTCCTAGCGGCCTGGCAGCACAGCTGAACTCTGTGGTCACAGTAGCAGCCCCTTTCTCCTTGCCCTGTCCAGTGTCTTCTGGGGCCTCAGCCCCACTGCTTTGTCTACCAAGGACATAGGCCAAGGTCACGTGGTCCTCTGCAGACATTTCCCCCACCTACCTACGTTTTCACCTTGCACGGTCACCTCGGTGAAAAGATGCAAATAGGAAAATGAAGAGACCTGTGGAGAAGTAAAATTAAAAAGGAGATATTGGAACAAGAAGACATCTCGTTTATCTGAAACTTGGCCACTGTTCACGTTTGCATGTCAGAGCCTTGTTATTTCCAATGAAGCCAGGAGTTTCAGGGTTGAGTGACTTCTCCTTGTGATTGTGTTAGGGTAACCATAGCACCAAGATTTAATTCTTGGGATACCTGGAGGCAGGTGAGGGGTATTGCACTTCCAATTAATGGCAGCCCCTTGATCTGTGAATGCCTTCATTTCTGTTACCCTTTTTAGTACAGCGCTCCGTCTTCACCGGCTGAATACATCCACCGGATCGGCAGAACCGCCCGCATTGGCTGCCATGGGAGCAGTCTGCTCATTTTGGCTCCTTCGGAGGCAGAATATGTCAACTCGTTGGCTTCTCACAAAATCAAGTGAGTCAGAAACCTGAACGGGGCTTCGGCTGATCTCACCTAATTAACTTTCTGTCGCTTTTTATAGTGGATGGGCCTTGTAAGCTGACGAAGAGCTATTAACCCTTGTGATCCCTAAATGAGTCCCAGAATAGCCAGTGGCAAAAACTAAAACCCTTAATACCATCAGCACATGACAATTTTCATTGGCATTGCCAGCCTAAGTCATAGAACGATCTGTTGCACCTCGTTTTTCTTGTAGATGGAGGTCTGTGTCTCGTGCCTCTTCCTGTAAAGCAAGTGTGCACACCCCTCCCAGCCAAGCCCCTTGGGGATCTTTTTTAGTCACAATTTTTATTTCTTGCACTTAACATTTTATACCTTTAAAGTTGATTTGTCTTTGAGAAAAATAATACGTTTTACTCATTACACAACACCCCTTGCCCCAGGAAAATAAACCCGGGGGGAATCGCTGAGAGGCCCTTGAGAGGTACCCCACACGCTCACAGGCAGGACCGGCCGGCCGCCATCTTTACGCGCCCGTCAGGCACCTCACGTTCCCTTGTGGCCCCAGGTCACAGGCTCAACAGCACAGAAGCCTAATCGGGGGGCCTTCCATCAAACCCTGACCTCACTTAGGAAAGAGAAAGCAGAGAGAGAGCGACGCTTCGACCAGGCCAGTAGTGATCATAACGAGAGCAGGAAGATGTCACAGGGCCACAGATGGGAATCTCTTTTGTCACGTCTTTCGTCAGATCCCTGGCACCTGAAGTAACCAGCTCTAATAGGGGCTCCTGAAGGCAGGCCATTTTTCACATGCACCCGCTTTCAAGAATTTCTTCAGCTCGGAGACAGTACAGTGATAAATACAATGTTTTTGGAGGCACAGGAACTGCTGTGTGTCTGCCCAAGATGGTGGGACATGATGCACGCCACGCGCGAAAACAGCCGTGGCTGCACGAGTTCCACTTAGAACCGACCCTGTGAGGCTGGCGCACAGCTGAGCGATGTGGCTGTACGTGGCGCCCTCGTTCCTTGGTGCTTTTCTTAGCCCAGGCCTGTGTTTTCTGTAAAGCATCCAATAATACTACAAGACTCCAAAGTTCAGAGCTGGGGCAATCACTGCGTTCAGCATCTGCCCCTGGTCTGGGCACCACAGGACCACGTGCAGGGCGCCCACTTGAAGAGATGTAATGTGTGGGGCCGTCCCCCCTGGTGCATGCAGAGCTCTCCCTGCCACTCTGCCCAGCGCTCTCAGGGGCGCTGTGTGAACTTGTAAGGACTATGGCGTATTCAGACGATGTGCCTGACCCCGTCAGTGTCATGGAGACAGGGAGCCACTCCTCATAAATCTGGTAATAGTTCCAAGTGGGCTAAAATCGGGGTGGTTGGCACTTTCCTCTTAGCTAATGTGTCTCATCTTAACACAGTTTTTCAGTTGAAAGGGTAGTTTTTATGGGTCTCGGGAAGATGTGCGTATTTTATCTCACACGAGAAATCTCATGTGGATCAGCCCCTCGCTTTTCGCCAAGACCTTGGTCTCCAGCTGGATTTGGCGTCCCGGGGCTGGAGGCCGGCTGGTCCTTACCTTTGTGCCCCTGACAGTGTCAAGGCCGCCACCGGCACCCGACCAGGTAGTTCTCCAGAAGTACCAGGGGGCTGAAAGGAAAACCCACGGACATAACCCGCTCCCTGGTGTACCCCTGCCCTGTCCTCACAGGCGAGGGGCGTGTCACAACGCTGTAGCTCTCTCTCTGACACAGGAATTTGTACAGCTGTAGAAAGTGTTTTCAGAGTTGTGTGCTCTCATCCCGCACTAGCATGTGCAGCCACCACACCTCAGCAGCCTGTCTGTCGTGCACAGCTGCTGTCCCTCCTTCCATGCTGGGCCTGCAGACTACGTGCCGCCCTCTCTCCCGTCAGCAGCTCTCCCAGTGTTCTCCCGTGCCGTGCACGCTGACGTGATCTGCTCAGGAAAATGAGTGCTGGGTTAAGACATCGAATGGGAAGCATCCGGCACCAAGCCGTCAGCACAGGTGCCGCTGCCCCTCTCTGCTCCTAAGTTTCCTAAACACTCAAGTTGATTGCCATGACACGTTCAAATGTCACCAAAATCGAAAAGGGAAAATAATAATTAGCAACGATACAAATTATCATTGAGCCAAGTATATTTTAAAGATGTGAAAAGTATGGTCATCCTCTCCGTTGATCTCATCTGGGAAAATAGTGTGCCAGCAGCATTCGTGGAAAATCCACCATAACATTCACATTCAGAGGTAACTGATGCCAGAGCCTTGGGCCTGGAAAGGAAGTTCACAAGGATGGAGACGGGGAACCCGAGACGAAGAGGGTTTGGTCTTTGGTGGAGAGGAGGTTCTAGGTGGTGTAAGAACATTCATTTAAGGGGGACAGAGTTGGTAGGAGTTGAGCCTCGCTGGTTTCTGCCCCCCAAATTCACCTATTGGGGTGCCTGTGCCTGACCCACACCCTGCTTCCTGGGCTAGATGTAATCATCCTAATAAATTTCAGATCTAAGCGATGTTGCAGGCGCTACTTCCTGGTTGCTGTTTGAGGGCGGGCTGCATGTTGGATATTCATGTATAGACTGTTCTTTGACTCAGTACCAAACAAATGAAATCTAGTAAGAACTATTGGCAGAACGTGCTGCAGAAATAAGCATTTTTGGAATCCAAAAGGTACTGAGTATTTTTTTTTTCAAAGAGGAAGAAATGTGTGTATGTTTTGTGCCTAAGAACCGGCGAGCCGGGCCGCGGGCCGCTGCGATGGTTGACAAATTACAGGGAAGATTCAGGAAGGCAGGCTGGCGCTCTCCGCGGCCAAGGCCGTCGCCACAGACTGCCACCTGCCTTCTACTCCGCGCGAGGAACGGCCTGACAATTGAACTTAGCGGACAGGGCAGGAGGCAGGTGCCCAGGCTGTGCCGCCTCTTTAGTCTCTACTTGCTTTTGACTTCTTCGTGTTTGCTGACTTCTTAACTTTCCCCACTTCTCCTTTAAATGTATTTCTAATGAAAGTCATCATTGGTTTATTAAAATGTAAATGCTTCATCAAAACGTGTGCTTCTTAGATCAGGCATAAGACAGGTCCCTGGATTTCTTTCTTTATCTAGCTCTTTTCCATAGTAAGGAGGGGTGATTCAGATCTGTTGATAGAACCATAAATAAGCAAAGTGGGTTCGCTTTGTTCCTCAGAAGCAGTAGGAGGAAGGCCTTTTAAACTGTAAGTCACCCGGTTTCCCCTCAGCTCCTGTTCACTTAGGGTGAATGGTCCCCGGCATTGTAGGATGGACACACACCACTCACCACACCAGCCGGGCTCTGGCTGCACTGTCCACATGCCCACGTGTTGCAGAAACGTGCCTGTCTGTGGTGTATTTAGCTCTGTGTGTCCCTGACGGGGAATGGCATCGCTCTCTTTCTCCCTGCTTCAAGATTTGACCCCAAGTTCTTATGTTTCTTTGACTTTTGTATTCCTCTATTTTTCCTCAAGAAAAAAAGTGATGGATAGTGCAAATCAAATAGACAAAGAAAGAGTTAGGATGGAGCTGTGTTTTCACCTTCCTTCAGATATCCAGGCATAAATAAGCGGCAAATTCAATAGCCATAACATTTCTCTCTCATAATGAAAAATAGATTTGCCATGAAATATGGTCATTATCCCCCGAACTGCCACCCTCTCGGTACATACTCTGCCTTCCCCGGTTGACTCTTCTTGCTGTAAAAAGACTTCACGTATCCATAGGGCTGCGCACTGCGGCAGAGGAAGAATGTTGAGGGGTGGGGGCTTGGGGTGTTGAGGGAAGCGGTGACACATTTCAGGTAAATAGCTGTCAGAGACATGACATTTTCATTCATAGCTTTGCTAGAGTAACCTTTAGGGGAAGGGGGGAATCGTCTTCCCCCACAGAAGAGGTTGCCATTCATGTTTTAATTTGCTGTTACATTTTGAAAGAAACAACAACATACAGGGAAGTCATTCTCTTTTGATGATCTGTTTTCCTCCCCCCCGAACTCCTTCCCTTTTCCTTCCTCCCTGGAAGAATGTTTTCCGCGCTCCTGTTTCCTGGGTCGCTGACGCGTGGCACTGTGTGCACTTCCGCCTTCGAATGCAGTGGCCTCCACAGTGTGAAGTGCACGCTTCACCGCCTCCACAGCTGCACAGGTCGGGCGGCTCTGTGCTGGCCCCGATGGCCTCCGGTCATGACCGAAGGCGGAATTCCGCCTTCAGCATTGCACATAGCTCCAGGTTCATCCGCGAGCATTCGGTCCTCGCCCCTTAATAATTAAGAGACAAGAGTCGTGAAGGTCCTTCAAGGTTGACGGGCGGCAAGTAGTCAGCGGGTGCTGGTCACGTGCTCACCATCCCTGGGCATTTACCCCAGCAGTTAAGGATCTTTAGCCACTTTTTTTTTTTTAAATAAAAGAAGTATAAAACAAAAGGGGCTATCTGAAATGGTTTTTATTTCGTCATCTGCTCAGGTCAAGGTCATATACCAGTAAGCAGTCCTACTTATTTAGTATTTGAGATTTATTAAGAAATAGTGATGTGATCCCTATAAAGGAAATCCCAAATGTAGCCCATTTAAAATGCATTGGGGAGGAAGGCAGTTGTTGGGAATATGACCCCACCTGTCCCTGTCATACTACAGAGGCCCCTTTCCTTCCAAATTCCTAAAGGTTTTAGGAAAATATTCCCTTTCCTGAGTAAATGCGGCGTCTACTTTATATCTAATTTGAGAACAGGCCGGTTTTACGCTTCAAAAGTCCGGATGTTTTTGAAAGAATGAAAAGTTGACTTTGCTGTGCCCTTGCCTTTACAGTGTTTCTGAGATGAAGATGGAAGATATTTTGTCTGTTCTGACAAGGGATGCTTGTTTTAAAGGGAGACGATGGGGACACCAGGTGAGTTTTATTGTTTATCGTACTTGCTACTGGCACATGTGGCTCCCTGCTTGATTTGGGGTGGTGATGATTCTGCTGCAGGACAGTTAGTTCCTCCATCAGCTCAAATGTGTGTTGGAAGACCATGAACATTAGATGAGGCCAAATCTGATTGTGTGTTTTCTCGCCTTTGCTTTGGGTGTGTTTCCTGGTCTCGTCCAGTGAATGGGCTGCAGCCCACCCTGGAAGCTGGCCAGACAGCAGCAGGCTTTTCAGAGTGGAGGGCTGGCTCCTCCTAGACCAGTCGGAGGCCATGTGCTGGACTTCCACCCTGGTGGTCCCTCCAGATTGTCACCAAGGACAACTGACTAGGCCGGCCACCCAAGGCAGCATAAAAAAGAAATGTCTCTGCACCCCTCTTCAGACACACTCAGTCCACCCATTTGTGAACGTGTACACAGAGTAAGGGTAAAGCTGAGATCATCAAGAAGACTTTCATTACCCATGCAGCTCCATATGGAGAGCCCGAACAGTTGCAGACAGCCCTGAACGCCCTTTGCTGCTGCTTTCCTCCTGTTAGGCAGTCATTTCACCACCCCACTCGAACACACGACTCAGCGTGTCACAAGGACGTGTGTGAGCGATGTTACCGTGTGCAGTTTTGTCTATGAAACATTAATTATTTGAATATTTTACATTTGTTTTTTCTGCCTGAGGATAGACTAGAAAAATCAGAGCTAAATAGATCAAGCTTAAGAGTTTCTTTTATCCATTAGTATGTGTCTTTATTTGGATCGATATTCTCCCTGAGGCAGGGACTCGATTTGGCCGACCCTGACTTAGGTTCTCTTGTTCCAGAGAGTACGTAAGGAAGTTGATCTAAGCAAAGGCGAGGATAGAATCACAGCGTCTGTCGCTTCCGTGTGTGTTCTGGACCTGGGACTGGGCTGAGCTCTTCACATGCCTGGTTCCATTGGATCCTTGTAGTCGCCCTGTAAGTGGGATATTATTGTCCCACTTTATAGATGAGGAAACTGAGGCTGCAGAGGTGCAGGCATGTGCACAAGGGCACACTAGTGATGGGTAATCCCCCCAGGATGTGAACACAGGCCGTCTACCTTCAGCGCACGCGTGCCTCACTGTACACCAGTATTCCTCTGTTAATCTTAACCGAACCAAGAGAACAGCGAAATTGCTTTTTAAATTGGGCGATGTTTGCCCTTTTCAGAGAGGTGAAGTTGGGTCAGTACGTGGCACCACAACAAAGTTCCCTGTGAGTAAGAGTGATTAAAGACTCCATTGATCAGCAAGTTCTCTGAAGTGATTTTCATATACGACATCCCAGCCGCATCAGGCTTTGGACCACCCCTTATTAACAGTCTGTTGTCAAGGGAACTGACCAGTAACCAAGCACTCATTGGTCCTGGCACACCTCTTTTCTTCCGAAACCTTCTACAAATTCTCGCCAGAGTAGTTTTCGTATTCCCACAGATACTTCATTGTGGCCCCAGGACAGCTGTGTGGCATAAGCAGGGGCACTTGGGGACCTGCCCGAGGCGCCCGTGGAGCAGAATGGTTGCCAGCGTGGCCTCGGGTCAGACCCCTGACCTCACGTCCTAGCTGTGTGGCTTTGGGCCAGTCCTAGACCTTCCTAAGCCTCAGTTTCTTCATGTGTAAAATGGAGATGATAATAGGATGAATAAGGACACTGAAGAGTAAGAAATAACCCAAAGCCCCAGCACGGGTCCCCAGGCGCACATTATTGCTGTTATTATTAATCATGATTATTGTCACATCAGTTAATGGCAGGTGTGGAATTGAAGGCCCAACTCAGTGACACGAAGCCCAGTGCCCCTGCTGTGTCACTGAGTAGAGCATCAGCCTGCCTGTTCTCCCAAGCGGTAAAACTACAACATGAGACAGTAAAGGTTTGATCAAATCCAGCCTTTACTTACACTGCTTCTGGGACCAGCATAGGTGCTGGTGTTTACCCCGTGAGCCCAGATCGGCTCTGTCCTGGGAGCTGGGCCTTGTGGGCCTCAGCACATCTCTAGGGGCGGGGGGAGGGGCCTGGGTCTGGAGGCCCTCCTGAGGGACAGGTGCCAGCGAAGGGGCAGCAGCCTCAGTGCCCCCGCTCCTGCAGGAACAAGCCACAGACGTTTTTGGAACATCTGCTCACCGTGGCCTTGGAGCATCAGTCCTTAAGCCAGCAGTTCTCAACCTTCCTAGTGCCGCGACCCCTTAATACAGTTCCTCATGTTGTGACCCCCAACCATACAGTTATTTTCATTGCTACTCTATAACTGTAATTTTGCTACTGTTATGAATCGTAATGTAAGTATCTTTTTGTTTTCCGATGGTCTTAGGCGACCCCTGTGAAAGGGTCGTTCGACTCCCAAAGGGGTCGCGACCCACAAGTTGAGAACCACTGCCTTAAGCCTTCACCTTGGTTGAGGCCAGCCCAGAAGACTCCCTGAGACGAGGAGCCAGGCCCCGGATCAGACGGGCGTGGGCTAGAGTCCTTGCTTCACAGCTGGTAGTTCTGCTCCAGGGGCAGGTTATCTCCTCCCAGCGGCCTCGGTTTCCCACCTGTGAGCCGTGGAGGATAAGAGTCGCCATCTTGTAGGGTGGCCGAGAGGTTTAAGTAAAACAGGCAGGCAGCGCTGTGCACACTTTGGGGCCGTGTAAGTTCACCTCAGCCCCAGCGCCTGCCTTGCTGGAGAGGAGTGAATGGAATGTTTGATGTTGTTAAGGTGAAACGATCTCTGGTTGTAAAAGGAAGAAATGCTAAGCAAGGGTGGGCATTCACTGACCCCAGAGCATCTGGTTCGCTTAGAAAGCCATTCACCATGCTAGGTTCTGGGTGTTATGTTGATGAAAAACTGACTTGTTTTGACCAAATTTAACTTTAATTCAAAGGGCACAGAGCACCTAAACTGAATGGAAAATATGACTAGTTATCCCATAGATAGAGCCAGCCTGAGTACTTTGTGTGTGGTCCACCTGAAGAGTGGAAGCAATAAGTGGCAGCTGGGTGCAGCTTTTAGTTCCGTTTCCCCTAAGAGGTGCAGTGTGTCGGATTTGCTGTGCTCAGCCCGGGCAGCTGTCCGGCGCAGGCAGGTGAGTGTGGGCTCAGAAGCCGGGGCTCCTACGCTTAGAGCCAGAGGCTCCTTATAGCCCCCTCCTCACCCAGATGGCTTGAAGTCCATTGCAAATGCCTCTTTGGCTTATACACTTTGGGGCTTCTGTGAACAGAAAGCAAGCGAGTGAAGCATCTGTAAAATGTATATTTCATATTTAGGTATATAAAATATATATAGCTACGCCTGGGTGTGTGAATGTTCACCCACCTACAAAGAGAATACATTTGATCTTTCAACTTTCCTGGAAAGCACTCAGAAGGTTCTAGGGACTGTGGGGGTAAGACTCAGCTTGGCAAAAAGTGATTAAAACAAAATCCCCCCATTTAGTTTTAAAATACCTTAGAAGACGCGTGCTCTCCCCTTACCCCAAAAAAGCCACCCTCCCACCACTTACAACTTTTTACAATAAAAATAATCCAGAGTAGTTATCTTGAACTCATCTGTTGCTTCTTGATAGGTGTGTTTTATCTTCAAAGTGCACACACATCCAAACATGTATTTCCTGTAAGTTCTTTTGTCCTATGAAATACACCTGTAAAGTTATCCTAACAAAAAACCATCACCAGCTTTGAGACATTAAAATTAAAATGAGATCACTAGCCCCTTGCTTAGTTCTTTTTGATCGTCTGTTCTCTCCAAGATCAGTAGGGTCTCACAGACAAAGGGTATCAAGTGCATACAGACGGTTGGAAATGTATTTTTCTAAACTATCCGTGGTCCACTCATTGCGAGTTGGCTTCATTAACCAGTACCGGATCTGTGTGTCTTTGAGGGTGGGAGCGCCAGTCCTGTGGGGGTTCACATGCCCTCCGGGGCTTGACCCACTCTCATTATGGGAGCAGTTTACCTGTCTGGGGCTGAGCTGGGGCTGCATCACTCTGCCCCTCTGTCTTCAGTTTAAATTTAGACTGTCCTCCCCAGAAGACACCTGAAAAATGCCTCATTCATTCTCCAGAGGGGCAATTTTAAAATAAAGTATTTCTGGAAATGGGGGTGGGGGGTAGTCAGACATGCTTTTTCCTAAGTATATTATGTTTTCTGCCATTAACTTTTCCCCATAGTTTACTAAAACTGACCTCATCATTTCAAACGTGTGAACTTAGTTTTAATACCTTTTCCTACATATTTCACTTGTATACGCACTCACATTTTATATATGTATGTGTGTATGTAATTTTTTTTTTTTTGGTGGGGAAGAAAAGATGCCTCATTTTGAAACCTAAAGGGGGGAATAAGAAAAGCCCTTTGTAATATATTGCCATATTATCACTAAATCCCCTGACAGTTGTGACACAGAAGCAAGTCACCTGTCACTTAAGCTTGAGGTCTCTTTAATTTTCTCCAGGAATTCGCACCAGGCTGTCTTTAATTTGAGGCCTTTATTGGAATTCTGAAACCTCTCTGCCTCCCTGGCTCTCAGATCTATTCTGAGAGCTGTTACAGAATGTATACAATAACCAACAGAGGGATTCGAGAGGGCTGGAGCTCTGTTTATTTAACACTCTAGAGGGATTTTTGTGCTTATTCGGTCCTGGCTGCCCGGCTTTCAATATCGCTTTGACAACCATTCTGCCCTTCTCATTAATTTTAAACAGTTAAAACACAGGAAAAAGAGGAAAAAGTTTTCATTATTAAAGTGCTTTACTTTTTAATAACAGAGGATTCTGTCCGCCAGGGGAAAGGGCATTCTCGCTAATTTCACATTCATATTAAAAAAAAAAAAAAAAACGCAAGGAAGGTGACAGTTGCGCTGCTGAGGTGGCTTAACGAAAGGAGGGCAGCAAAAAAAAAGTTTGCATTTCACATCAGTTAAGAGGGTAAAAAAAAAAATCACTGTTAATGACAATAGCAAATGTCCACTTTCGTAACACAGCTCCTGAATGACGTTTCTCTTGACATTTGAGTGGATAAAACCCTTAGGGGGACCATGTACTGTGAAATCAGCGAGGCTGTCATCAGCCAAACAGGTAGCAGGCATGATTTGACTAAACTCAAAACATTTTCAGGTTGTTAAGTCTCTATTAATATAGAGATGAATGTCGATCTGAAGATTGAAGCATTTTCTTCTCTCCCCTTTGTTCTTCCCCTGGCAGCTTTAAAAGTGAAAGAGATCGTCTAGGTCAGGCGTAGTCACCCACACGGGCGTGTGCACCCCATTCCCTGCGGGGCCCCACTGGTGCTTTTCCTGGTGACTTACATTGGGGGTGGGGGTAGGGACAGAGGCTAAGTAGCACCATTCAGAGTCAACATATTAGGCAAATTGGGTTGGAGAATCTGTTCTTTTGCATCTAAGGGTCACATTCAATAGAAAGCATTCATGTTTGTTTTAAGGTACAGAAAACAAAAACCACTCGTTTTTAGGGGATGTAAAGAAAGAAGTCTTTTCTCTGAGATTATTCAAGGATGAAAAGAAAATAATTTTTTTATTCTCTTAGCATTTCCCATCTGTGGGTCTTTCGTGCATACAGGTGTTACCTCTTACAGAGGGGCGGTTTGGTGCAAAGACCCACGCAGCCCACTTCTTAATAGGTTCTGGGGACTCATCACAGTGGCTCTGGGCTGAAAGGAAGAACCTGAAACGCCGAAAGCCTGAACCTCCCTAGGAACCAGGAGGCATGCTCTGAAATTCAGGGATAGGCTGGATGGTAGGCAGGTCACCGTGGGATGCTGTCACCGTGGAGCTGCCAGCGTTCCATTGAGGAGTGTCAGGGAAGGGAGAGATTTCAGGCCTAAGTGGGAGGCACCAGAGTCATCTGAAAACAGCTTAAGTTTAGTGATGTTTTAAATGCCGGAATTGGACTTAGAAAATTCCAAAGTGTCTCCAGTGAACTTTTATTCTGAACGTGAGTGGTAAGAGGCCAAGAAGAAAAGTAAGTAAATAAGTAAATAAATAAACAGACCTGATCTGCTCCCTCACAAAGCCATGCTCATCTTTACTTGACTTCCACATCCTTACAGCTCCCTTTTTTTCCCGAGTAATATTGAAAGGATTACCCTTGTTGGCCCCTAGGTGGTTACTGTGTGATTTTACTGTTATTAAATCTATTATAAACTGCTTCATTATTCCTGACTCTGACTCTGTCTGTCCTTTAATCCTTCCATCACCCTCCCAGAAACCCCGTGCCGCTGGCCCCCAGGAAATCCGAGAGCAAGCCACGGTCTTGCAGACACTATTTGAAGATTACGTGCACTCCAGCGAGAGGCAGGTCTCCTGGGCAAAGAAAGGTCGGTCAATTTCTTAGATGATTGTGGATGAACAGCCCAGCACAGAGCATCATCCTCACCTCCATCTACCCCACCCCCCGTCCCCCAGACGGGCTGAGAGACCAACCTGAGGTCTCTGCTCACTAGCAGAAGCCTTCAATTTCACTAATTCTGCAGGGTTTGGAAGCAGGCGCGAGAGGCTTTAAAGTGATATTAAATGTTAATTTCATTCTTCCCTATGTTTTGCACAAATGAGGCTTTATCTTGGCTTACGTCAGACTAGGGCTTTGACCCAGCAACTCGGATCTTAGAGATCTGTCTTCCTGTTTCTTTGAAAACAGGGTGGAAGAGACGTGGCGTGTCAGGAGAGATGGCTGTAGAGATGGAGATGAGAGGGGAAGGCAAGGGCTGGCGACACTGGGCCTCAGCAGTTCCTGTAGGAGAGCACAAAGGGAAAGGAGGCCGCAGACCATGAACCCAAGTCCTCGGGCATTTTCAAAAGAGTTAGGTGCGCATTTAACATTCAGACCCTTTATAGGATAAATTGTCTCCTGGGATCACCAAGCATTAGCTGTGGGCTCAGCCGTTCACTGTAAGCACGGAGCAGAGTGGAGGGTGGGGGCCTGGGACAGCCGGACGTCTTTTACCGTGGAACGTTGTGTGTCTCGGCCAGCGACTGTCTCGTGTGTGCTAATGAGGCGTCTTCCATGTGGGGACAGCACCGTTCTCGTTGATAGGTGCCTGCCATTTTGAGAAGAGTGCTTGGTCCTCGAAGAACGTTGGTTTGTTCAACATCACTTCATTATAACGTCATTTCATTTCATTGACGAGATACCCTAGGAACTTAACTCTTGTTTGCATCAGTGAGCCTGCGGTGGAACTGTGTTTGTTACATGTTGTTTCGCTTAAAGTCACAGACCTTTCCATGACGTTAAATGAGGGCTTACTGTGTCTGTACATCCTTTTTTTCTTTTTATGAATCAAATTTTTTCTTTTTTATGAATCAAAAATTTTTTTAATTATTTAACAAATATGTGTTGAGTTGGGCACTGTTCTAGGTGCAGGGGATACATAGGAATCAAAACAGCTAAAAATCCTCACCTTTCTAACATTCTAGTGGGGGGTGGCAGACAGTGAGCATAATGAACATAATAAGTTATACCTAAACTGGTCTATTAAAAGGTGATCAGAACTGTGAAAAAGTGGAGCAGGGTAAGGGAGATAAAATGGGTGACGGGCAGAGTTCATTTTAGAGGGAAGGTCAGAGTGGGCCCTGTTGTGGAGGTGACACCTGAGCAAGAACCCAAAGAGAGAGCAGGCATGTGGCTGTGGCAGAGGGCATTCCAGGCCAGGAACAGAGGTGCAGAGGAACTCTCAAGGCAACATGGCTGGAAGGGGGCAGTCCGCAGAGGCCGATGACATCAGATGGCCTTGGACTTGGAGGCGGTCAAGAGGACTTGGGGCTATCCTGAGTGAAATGGGGGCCGCTGGAGGGCTTGGAGCAGAGATGTCTGTGGTCTGATGGAGGCTTAAAGAGATCACCTGACTGCTGTGTGAGAACAGACTCGGGGGCAGGGTAGAAGCCGGGGGTCTGGTTACAGGCGATGGGTGGGCATCAGCAAGTAGACGGTAAACGCAGGCCAGGGAGCCAGTACTTCCGAGTGCCTGATGTGCACCTTATGCTCGTCGAGCAGCCCTCAGTTGTTGCTGTTACACTGGACCAAGTCAGAATTGCACAGGGTGGAAGATAAAGTCCCCGTATTTGCCCGTGACCGCTAATACATAACGCGTGTGCGTCCTTCCGGACGGGGTTCTGATAATAGTCTAAATAAAATCCTAGCGTCTCCCTAAACTGAATTTAGCAGTTTCTAAGGGTTTTCCTGAGAACCTGTTGTTAGAGAAGTGCTGGACCATGTCTCTCAAGAGCAATAGAATGTTTGTCACAACGCCACTTTGCAGTCTGGTGGTTACTGAAAGTTTGGCAGACTCAGCTCACAGTGGGTATATCACTAGGCAATGTGCTACAGATTTCAGGGGAGTAACAAAGTTGCAATGAAAACAAATAAACTCACACCGTCCTCTCTTGGTGCCAGAAGTATTTAGATGTTCTAGTTACTGTTTAGTTACAGTAACTAATCCTTAGAGAAGGTGGTTTTGTGTTTTCTTGATCATTACCACTGAGCTTATAATACCAAGGAGCAAGCAGAGGTCCTTGTCTTCTTTTTAAAGGATAGCGGAGTGGTGCCACTCCCCATTGATTTCACACCAAGAAGGGAATAAATGTCTCATTGTTCTTATCTGCTAATTGATTTCCACAGCAGGGTGATGATGGCCTGGGACAAACTGCCTGCAGTAGGTCCTGACATAAAGCCCTTTGCTATTCATTTCTCTCCTGTTACTTAGGATTGTGGGCTCTGGGGGTTGGGGGAGAGTAGACACATAATTGCCACTGTAAATGTGTTGGATTTACAACTTGGGGACAGCTAGTACACCCCTAAGTTGATAGTATCTTTTGCATATGCAAATTTCTCACTACTGACTTGCCTCCTTTTTATGCCAGTTCAGAACCCACCTCATGAATAATTAACAAAGCAGCTGGGTTTTGCTTTTATGGCAGAAAACTAGTTGGAAACTGGGCCAAGGATACATTTGTTTTCCTTTTGCATTTTCTGACCCAGTCGTTGTTAATAACTAGCACTTAATTGTTGTCAGTTTCCAGAGGCAGTTACCCCCTTTTCCTCTCATTTCTTGCATCTTTTTAACTCGATATTTAAGTGGTAAAAATTGTGGTAACATAAGTTTGAACTCCAGACTCCTGAACAAAAATTTCAGAAAGTGGAATCCTTTCCCTGCAAGTACCTCTTCTCCTGGGACTCGCACCTGTCCATCGGCAGGCCTCCCCGGAGAACAGGGAGGGGCTCCACATGTAGAAGTTACGCCTGGCTTGGGACGGATGCTTCTCAGAGTCAGGAAACCCGAACCACCGATGAAGACCGCCCTCTCCCCTCAGTGTGATCGGAGGCAGACTGGGTCCTGCACCCATCGCTTTGTCGCTAAGAGATTGCGAACGAGCCACCTCCTCTCCCACCTCCTGTCACTGTTGATGTGTCAGGTCGGAAGATGCAAGTGACTTTACCCTGAACAGGTGTGTGCTCTTCTGCAGCAGGTGGGGCTGAGCGAGGGTGCCTACCCTTTCCAGGCTGGGGTTGTGCTCCTTTCCGCCTCCACGATCCTAAGCACCATCCATGAGATGCCACTAGTCCTGATCAGACGCCCAAGAATACATTTGATTTTAATTTTAAATCTAATTAAAAATAGATTTCCCTTAATTCATCCACCTTCTGGCTCCGAAATAGGAATCAGAGACTGTGGAGTGCTCCCTCCAACTGGCTGCGGCTTCGTCCATCACCCTGAATAAGTGTCTGCTTTCATTACTTCTCTACTTTCCGCTTGTCTGGGCCCCACAGCCCCCATTCCTTCCACACACTTTTGACACTGCCAACATGAGCCACTTCCTGCCCCTTGGAAGGGCCTACAAACAGCTGCTGCTGCCTCCAAAATTCCTGCTTCTCTGAATCATCCAAACATGGGAGTCCAGGCGAGGATATGAGGATGACCAACTGTCGCTGTCCCCAATGGGACAGGAGCCTTGAGGACGAAGAGGTTTAGTAAAAATATGCAGCGCGAAATGCCGCCTGGCCAGTTGTCAAGGGAGAAAACACTTCTGCCATTTCTCGGCAAACTCATTATCCCTGTAAAGCTGTGAGCTGGGCACCTCTGTCTCCTGGGACGGGCTCTCCATCCACGGCTCCGAGGGCTGGTGTGGAGCCGAGGAGGAAGGGGCACGCCAGGCAGACGGCGGGGCCGAGCTGCTGCATAGAGGACGGGAGGCATGAGGGGCCTGGTCGGCGCTCGGGTAACACATGTTAAAAGCGCAGATTCTTTAGTATGGTTGGCTTTGCTTGGCATGGCTCCTTAGACGAGTAAATGTTGTGGGCTGGGGAAGGAAACGTGGGGAGAGGAGAAGAGGCTGGGGTCCCCTGGGCCGTAGTGGTTGTGTAGCTTTCCTCTCCGAGGACTCGGATGTGCAGCTCTCTGTCTAGAAGCCTGGTGTCAGATCCCTCCAAACAGCACAGACCATTTGAAGTGTTAAAGATTTTCCTTGAAAAAGCAGCTAGTCCTCAGTTATTAAAAAGGGGAGTAAGCACAGATTTAAGAGGGGTGCCGACGAGTTGCCTGGGTTATTATTTCTCATCGATTGGGAAAAGGAGTTCACTTTGCTCAGTAAATAGAGCTTTGATGGATTCCCAGGACCCTTCCAGGAGCTGATCTGCTAAAATGACACTTTTTATTACTGTTCATAAACGCCAATCTCCAGGTGCTGCTGGGTATTACCTTTAAGCTGTGGGCAAACTTGGCAGTCCAGTGGCTCAACAGGCGAGGGTAAGAGGCTGGTACTCAGTACCTGCTCCCACCAGATGCCGCCATGCCGGGCTCGGCTGGGACTCAGCACCCGCTCCCATCAAACACTGCCGTGCTGGGTTCGGCTGGTACTTAGTGCCCACTCCCATCAGACGCCGCCACGCTGGGCTCTGCTCGGCTGCCGGAAGAGCAGGGCTTGGCCATAGAGTAAGCAGTGATGGGGATGGGGGATGCTTTCCAGAGCGACCCCCTCCTGCCCTGTCAGCTGGGAAAAGGGCAGACACTTGATTTTCATTGTTATTGCAAGATATTCAAGGGCCACCGGCTACAGGAAAATCTTTCCTAGAAGGAATGCCCAGTGAAAGTGTACCAAGGCGTCACCCTCCTGGGAACCAAGCCTGCTTCTCTCTGGCCAGCACCCGGGTCTAGAACAGGGTCCTTTTTCTTAATTTTAAAATAGGACCGAAACTCATGACAGGATGTCTAATGAACATGTCTAAATTGTTAGCAGTCCTCAAGGGATGGACTGTGTTGTGCTACTTTAGACACTTAATCATTTTCTTTCTCCTTTTTAAAATTCTGTTTCATTTCCTCTTTCCTGCCTTCTTGGAATGGGTCAGAAGCACTGTAGCAGTCAGTGCTGGACACTGTAGGATGAATTTGGTTTTAAACTCCCATGAGTGCAGGAAGAACTGGTCTCGGTGATTCTGCTGGATCGGGGAGCTGGAGGTGGGGCTCGCGGTGGAAGCAACATTTATAGTGACGCCACTCATTCATAATAAACAGAAGGACAATCCCAAAGCCTTTGAAACTTTGTAACATTTGCATGTATTAACTAGTCAAAAATAAATAAACTTTAATTAGGAAAATTTTTTCCTGATAGAAAGGTCTAATGATTTCATTTTTCATAAGAAAACCATAGCTACGTTGATATGTCTTCTTCTCTCCTCCTCTCTCATTCAGTTACACAACCAGCGTGTATCAAACACTTGCCCTGTGCCGGGCACTGGGCTTGGCCCCGAGACTAATGAAGAAATCAGAGCCCCTACCCCTAGAATTGTTACAAGCTACCCGTAAAGTCTGAAATTATGTTGGGTTTATTCAAGTGACAGTTGGGGCCTATAGGGGTTTTTTTTGACGAATTACAAAAAAAAGAACAGGTATAGATTTAGGTCGTTGGTGTGTGTTGTACTGTCCTGGATGTGTGCCATCATCGCCTGGACAACCATTAGGCTGGGGCGCATTGGCACTCCGGGAGCCCGTCCTGACAGACCCCCCCCCCGCCTTTCTCTTCCAGCCCTGCAGTCCTTCATCCGCGCCTATGCCACCTACCCCCGTGAGCTGAAACACATCTTCCACGTCCGATCACTCCACCTTGGGCACGTGGCCAAGAGCTTCGGGCTGAGAGACGCCCCCAAAAACCTTAGTGTCTCGGCTGTAAAAAAGAGGAAAGCAAACCTGAAAAGGTAAGATGAGCTGGATTTGCCTGTGACCAATGGCTGTAAGTCAGATGGGTGTGGTGCGCTCGGCTCAGGTTAGCGGCAGTGTGAGGATATGGCCAGCTCTGCGTGCTCAGTGTAAACTCCTCCATCTTTGATTTCTGTGGCAAGTGATCACAGTATCTGTCCTCTCCATATCGTAAGTGCTTGGAACAAGAGGAAGTATGCCTAATTGCGATGTTTTTGAGGGATCAGCCGAAATTCAGTGGTGTCGCTTATCGCGTCCAGATGGGGTGGGTGTTATTGGAGCAGCAAGACCAGTGTGTGGGGTTGTCTTCACTGCCCACCCACCAGTAGATTAACTCGGGACTTGCCACAGTAGGAGCTTCACCATGGAAAGCCCACGGGACTTGTACAGAGACTTCAGGTGTGTTCTGTGACTCGCGCCCTGGTGGCACACTCCTCCCGGGTGAGATGGGAGGGGCGGCCTGCCTGCTGAAGCCGCTCTCCTTGGTGCTGACGGGCGCCTCCAGAGCTGAGCGCCTGTAGTGTGAGCACAGGGGGCTCTTCCTCTCCCTCCAAAACCATGTTCAGAACTGTCCCGAGGGCCTAGTGACGGAGTGAGGAGTGTTGTCCTGCAGGTTGGACGCTAGGTTCTGCGTCCATCTTCAAAGTTTCAGGAGGTCCTGAGATGATTTCCCTCGTTTACATTTGCGAAAGATTTCTCTCAAAGACAGAGTGTTCTCTTAGTACCAGGCCCAGCCCCTCACAGGAACTGGAGTATTTGAGATTCCCGGAGCGGCTTTTCTAGGGAGTTGTGGGGTGGATGCCATTATTGCTTTTGCAGCATGTGGATAAGGATGCACTGAGCAAATGTTTGGGCACTAAGAACCCTGCGTGCTTGGCACAGTCATTTGGCGTCATATATCCTTGTTGCATATTAATTACAGATGCGGAAACACACGCGCCCGATATGGCTGTGGAGCGAGTCCATAGGCAGGACCCCCTTCTCATGTCCCACACGGTGACGCCTGCTTCGCCAGCGTCAGGACGTGACCGTAGGTCTTGGAGTTGGGGGACTTGGACTTCACTGCCAGCCCCAGTCTGGGGCGAGCTTGTGAGCTCTGGACCTGCCTTTGCTTACTTCTCAGATCCTCAGTTTCCTCAGCTACAAGAGGGAGAAGGAGGGCCATGTTTTTAGCAACATGCAAGATTGTTCTGAGAATCAGAAGTAGGTATGGCATGTAAATATGCCTCTCGAACCAGAAAGGGCCATATAGGCGACACACGGGACACAGAGGACACAGCTAGAAACAGAGGAGTTAAGATTCTAGAACATCCCACCTGGTCTGTCCCGGGGCTTGACATCTACAAGGCTCCATCATGGGTAACGTTTTGCCTAATTCTAGCTCCAGTTGTGGACTTCTCAGATGCTTGATCATTTTCTGTTATCAGTAACTCTTGTAGAGGACAGTGCTCCAGTGCTTCTGTTGGGCAGGTATCTCCACGTGCTGCTCTTCTGCAGCATCCAGAAGCGCCTGACACAGTTGGCTCTGGTGTGTTCCAGGCGGTTTCGGGCTCAGGGTGCTGCCTGCTGCCACACCTCCCCTGTCCCAGGCACAGACTCCTCTGCCTGCCCTCTGCTAGAGCCTCAGAGCTGCACCAGGCGAGGTGGCTGTGCCAGGAGTGGGGGCTGCAGGGAAGCAGAGTTGGGTTCCTGGCCTTGCGTTTGGGGTAGCTGATGCCTGTGCATATTAACTCTGATTTTGAGGATGTGACTCAGTCGGTTCTGAGAGTGATCTAGTAACCTGGAACCTGACCACCCTGCCACCATCTCTAAAATGCTGACACTTTGAGAAGGTTGGAATACACCTGCCAGGTGATTACTGGTAAAGTAACACATTTTGTTTATCACTCTCCCCACAAATAGAGTGCCAATATTGTATTGTTAGCAGACGATCTACCTTTATGACTGGGGTTTTCATTAGCAAGTGTGCGTTCAGATAGCAGCTCTTCAGACTCGGATGTCGTCAGCTCTTACCCAGATCCTGGAAAGCAGAGCGGGAGGCAGTTGGGAAGGGAGACTTGGAGCCAGCATTGTCCTACCTTGAGAAGCCACTAGGGAGAGAGCGAGCCCTCGCCTCCTGCCTCTGCTGACCCTCCTGGCAGATGGGCACCAGGACGACCATGCCCCTGTGAGCCGGGATTTAACAGGGCTTTCTTTAGGGAAGAACGGGCTGATTAGCCGATAAAGAGCATGTAAGATGGTATGGGGCAGCCTTTGATGTCTGGCTGGCACAGCAGGGAGCCGGCGGTGAGTGACAGCAGTGTGTCACAGGATTACTCCGCCCGTGACAATGCCGCTCTCTGTTCTTGCCATGTCACCACTCTGTTACAGCTACTTTTCCCGTTGTTATGCCCTTCTTTTGAAGGCATCTCTCTCTGCACTCCTTATATCCTCCCACCCCACCCCTGCCTTGCTAACGCAGACGGGCACTCAAGGATCCAGTAGGCACCTTCTTTTATTCGGGGAAATCTTGTCACTCCTGGAGGAAGAATGACTTTGCAGCTAATCTGCACACGGACCGTATAATTGTGGTCAGGGTAAGCGGCTGAGAAAACTTGACAGATTTTCCGCACCTCAGTCAGGCTCGAGCAAGTGCCAGTTGCTGCTTTTTGAGGACTGGAAAGAAAAGTCCATTAAACCCCACAAAGTGCGGGGCCTGTGCTGCGGCCACAATGACTGCTCTGAGCTGAGGCGTCTCCGCTGAAATCCATCTGCCAGAGAGAGCATGGGTTCCTTCTGTTTTTTTCTGGGGGATAAAATAATAGCACTCAGGTCTCTAAATTATTCCGCATTCCATTTTATGGTGTTTACTGCCTAGAATAATTACGCATTACTTGCAAACCTCTGATATGTGCAAGCCCATCGCCTGTTACTGAAGTCATGCCTCACCTGTCATACAGCAAACGGGTGTAGCTGGGGGTTCATGTGAAGAAAGGGCGGCTCAGGGGAGGGGACGCTCAGGCATTCCTCGCGATGACAGAGGGAATTTTTATCTCGTCTCTGTGCCTCTCTTGACCACTTTTCAGGAAAAGAAGATAAACAGTTAATGTCCCCAAATGAGGTCTTGCTCTCCAGGTCTCCATGCTGTCCCCAGCCCTCTGACACTAAGTGTTTTTCCCTGCACGCAGAAATACAGTCATCGCCACAGAAACTCGTCTGACACCTACACACACACCTGTCAGAACAGCCCCCTGCCCTGAACACCTACACACACACGTACACATGGAGCTGGGGCTGTTGCTAAAATATTGAATGGCCCCTCAGCAACATCCGTCATGCACACTCATTTCCCTCCCGTGAAATGAAGTTCTGGTTTTGAAGCTGTAGACGGAGCAGATCCTGAGAAGCAAAAGTAACATACCTTCTAGAATGTCTGTCTTCCCTGGAGAAGCTGAGACCCAGTGCTGTCTGCCATGGAGGACAGAGCTGTCTTGTTTGCCAGGGTGTGTCTGTCTGTTCGTCCGTCTGTCTGTCTCAGCCGTCGCACACATGAACAGAACGTGTCTAGGAACAGCGAGCATGCATGAGTCCCTCATGTGTCTGACACCCTGGAAAATGGGTCAGAGATAGATAAAAACTAACGGGCCTACTGTCTGGGTGTTACTGTGATAATATGCAAGAGCGAGCCTGCTGTGTGCCACCCTGTCTCCCATGAATTCTATGCTGTCATGAGAAAAAACACCATTTTCCCCCCAAATAATTCAGTGTGTAGCTCCCTAAGCCTGGTCGGACCCTAGCTCCCACCATCTGTCCTTCCGATGTTCTTAGTACCTGGAAACATTGTCTTTGTCAGCAGTTCAGTAATTTTGCTCCCCTGTTCTCAGCTCCCTCCTTTTAAAATTAGTAGATCAACAACAATCGGAATTGTCGACTATTGTTAAAAGAAATACAGTTTTATTTGTATAAATTTTCTCAAACTCGCCTAGCGAAAGTGCTTACCTGGTAGTTCCTGATTTTGTCACCTAAACTTAGCGACTTCTTATCACTTAATACTTCTCAGATCCGGATGTGCTCAGTCAGCGCTCAGCCTGCTGTGGTCAGTGATGAAGGGGTGCGTGGGGCTGGCTCCCCGGGGCTCTGGCCTCGCTCAGCCACCACCCAGCCAACACCACAGAGTGTTTTCTGAGCCTATGTTACTTCCGAAGTTCTGGATACAGTGTATTCTCTAAAACAAGTAACCATCCTCATGAGGATCTACTCACCAGACTTCTCATCTGAATTATTACAAATGCTTCATCGCTGAAGTTCAAATTTGAGATTTTGAAAAGCTCCATTTGGGGCCTTTTTCATCTTTGAAGGCCTTTGCTACGTCAGTTTCCATGATGCTCACCCTAGCTTGTTGGAGAATTGTGAAATAACCAGGAAGAGTTACTATGTTGCATACCATTCTAGTTTGAGAAGCTGTTCGCCATTAGCCATCTCCCTCGCCCCGCCGCCTTGTTTCTAACCAACTCTGGGAGCCTGGCTTTGATTCTCACAGGAGTTGGGGTTGAGACACTTATCACGTGTGTGCCATTGGACAGATGATCAGCCTCTTTGTGCCTCGGTCCCCTGTCCTCTCCGATGGGGGTGCTGGAGCTGCCCGGTGTTGGGAGGGGCCTCAAACCAGAGGTGAGTGAAGCATCAGTCAGGTGTCGGGACACGATTTCCTGGGAGCACTTGTTGATAACGACAACAGTGACAGTGATACTGGTTCTTTCCTCTGGCCTGCCTCGTGCTCGTAAGTGTCCCTGGAATAGGAAAGCGTAGTTAACTGCCAGTGTCTTTGCACCGTGAACTTTTCTTATCAGGAACAACCTTGAAAGCACAGAACCGTTCGCTCCAAGACCCGCATCAAGGAGCTGCAGCTGCACCTCCCGTAAAGCGATCCTCTTATCATTAGGAGCAGCTTGCCTGCCAATTGTTATGTGGCATTTACAACCTCCGTAATATCACTTAATTAGCTGAAGGCAAACTTGGA